CCTCACCTATATGGCCCCAGCTCAGGTACAGCCCCAAAATAAGGGGCAGCGGCCAGGATGATGATCCGGAAAACGGCGAGCCCTGGCACCTTGGAAATCGATCTTCACTGAACACGAAGACACCAATGAATAGCATTGACGCTCCGTTGGGTGGTGGCGCAGGCATTGATAGCATCTGCTCGGTATTTAGTAAGATTTTCATAAGACAGCTGGTCGCAATATTATACGAAAAGAGAAAAAAAAGATGGAAGAGACAGTCATTGGCGACGTTGAGAATAGGTGCAACATAATTCTTTTTCGTTCTCCGAGTTATGAACCGGGAGTGGAGGCGAAGTTCAGATGGGCGGGGTGTAGTTCTTGTAATTCTTGTAACACAACAAAGTTATTTATTATCGTCGTATTAGCAAGCTGGCCGTTGCCCAGATGATGAAAGGCTCGGCACGCTGCATAGGTTTGTGACAATGATTGGCTGCGTTAAAAAGAGAGGATAGGTTAGCAACACAAAAACAAGAACATATGGCAAGGCGGTAGATTCTAAAACAAGGGCTGATAGCTGGATTCCGCCCTTTGCAACAGATAGAATGGTGGAGACTGGAAACGAGGGACATAGAGTCATGAGCCCACTGACCGTTAAGTAACTTAAGTAGGTAGCTTAGAGATAAGTAAAAACAGATCGAGTAAGTCGATGGGATTGGATTAGATCGAAATTGAAAGACAAAGACACGGTAGTCCAATAGACACGGGAGGATGAGAAAGAAGAGGTTTAACTTTTACAAATTGTAGCGTCTTTGTAGCGTCTTTGAGGTTAGGTTAGGTACATATATACATATGTATGTACCTATGTGCGTGGCATACATGTACATACTAGTTTACATGTACCTAGTAGGCGGTATTTAAGGCGGTAGGCACATACGATGCGGTATCATTGATACTTACCTCATGTACATACGTTGCAGCTGCATGATGGATGTTGTGGGTATTGTGGTGGGATGTAGGGTTGTAGAGGTACCTCACAAGTTACGCTAGTTAGTGAGAGCAAGCGAGAAGATACTTGGCCCGTACATCGCACGAGTAAGGTAAGGCATGGATTCGATCGTAGCAAGGTACATCACTCCCCCCCTCCACCTTACCCCCCTGGCAGCCCCTCTTACCTTCTCAAAGGTGCATCACCGCCCACTACTAGTGGGCCACTAGTAGCGGTACGTATTATGGTAGCTACGTCCTCGTACATGCTGCCTCACTTGGTAACAACCAAGTCTAAAAGCCTATGCCAGCACCAGTGTTCTTTCGTAGAAAAAGCCATACCGTAACAACCCTTTTTACCTTTAAAAGTCCCAGCTTGGTCCTCCCAAACCTCCCCCCCAAACAAGTTCTGGAAACTCTATCCTTTCTTCTTCCTAATTCTGCCCCCCCAAAGCTTTCACCAAGCTCACCGCTATTGCCTTTCGTTTTTATCGTTGATACCCCGGGAAACCCCTCTAGAGCTACCTAGGTAGGGAGAAGAGTGAATCCCGTAATTCAGGCCAGATAACCCACCAATATTCTGACTTTGCTGCAACAACAAGATACAGGCAACATGTGGTATGTGAACTCGATCGAAAATCCTTTATTTTGCTACGCTCTACGCTCGCAATAAACGGAACGGGGCTTTGTCCTGTCCGCGATTCTGGCGGTCAACCCAATCCATGGTTCGAACTATGCCGTCACGGTTACTTGGACTTTGGGATGAAGTTGTTGGGATAAGAGCAATTTTAGAGGATCGATCTGTTAGAGTCAATTCGGGGTGCTAATTCGAGTTTTTATAACAGTGGAATTTTTGGTTATATTAACTACCTGGTCGAGAAGGACCGGAAGTTTATCCTCGACACATTGGTGAACGGTGAGACACGATAACCTGCCGCATCCCGCTCTCCTCGATCCGCTGTACATGATGCCTGCATTTTGCAGCATAGACTTATACATATCAAACAATAATTAATGGACACCCAAAAGCTGACAACTGGCTTTTTATTAAATAGGTCTCTCTCGTCTAGAGTATCGTGGATATGACTCGGCTGGTATAGCTGTCGACGGCGACAAGAAGAACGAGGTGCTCGCTTTCAAGGAGGTCGGCAAGGTTGCTAAGCTCAAGCAGCTCATCGAGGAGTCCAAACCAGACCTCACCAAGGTTTTCGACTCCCATGCCGGTATCGCCCATACTCGATGGGCTACTCACGGTCCTCCCTCTCGGCTGAACTGCCATCCCCACCGGTAAATTCCTTTACATAGCAGAGCTTACGAGTCCCCTTGCTAATCCGACTGTCACGTATCCAGATCCGACCCCACATGGGAATTTTCAGTTGTCCACAATGGCATCATCACTAATTACAAGGAATTGAAGACCCTCCTTTCCGCAAAGGGCTTTAAGTTCGAGACCGAGACCGACACGGAGTGCATTGCGAAGCTCACAAAGTACCTATACGACCAACATCCCCACATTGACTTTGTCGACCTTGCTAAGGCCGTCATCACCGAGCTCGAGGGCGCCTACGGTTTACTGATCAAGTCGGTCCACTACCCCCACGAGGTTATTGCTGCTCGCAAGGGTTCGCCCCTTGTCATTGGTGTGAAGACCCAAAAGCGCATGAAGGTCGACTTCGTCGATGTAGAATATTCTGAGGAAAATGGCGCCTTGCCCGCCGAGGCTGCCTCGCAGAACGTTGCCTTGAAGAAGCAGAGTGATAACTTCCTGGCTCCGAGCTCCCTACTTGGCGCCCCCGACAAATCTCTACTCCACCGTTCGCAGTCTCGAGCTTTCATGACTGATGATGGCTTGCCCATGCCCGCCGAGTTCTTCCTCTCATCTGACCCTTCGGCTATTGTTGAGCACACCAAGAAGGTCATGTACCTAGAGGATGACGACATTGCCCACATTCACGAGGGCTCGCTGAATATCCACCGCCTCAAGAAGGCTGATGGCAGCTCGAATGTTCGTAGCATCCAGACTCTGGAGCTTGAGCTCCAGGAGATCATGAAAGGCAAGTTCGACCACTTCATGCAAAAGGAAATCTTCGAACAGCCCGAGTCCGTCGTCAACACTATGAGAGGTCGTCTCGACATCGAACACAAGAGCGTCACCCTTGGTGGTCTAAGATCATACATCGCGACTATCCGCCGATGCCGACGTATCATCTTCATTGCTTGCGGGACAAGTTACCACTCTTGCATGGCTGTCCGAGGTATCTTTGAAGAGCTTGCCGAGATCCCGATTGCCGTAGAATTGGCTTCCGACTTCCTCGATAGAGAGGCACCCGTTTTCCGTGACGACACATGCGTGTTCGTGTCGCAGTCAGGTGAGACAGCCGATTCTTTGATGGCCCTCCGATACTGTCTAGAGCGTGGCGCTCTCACTGTTGGTATTGTCAACGTAGTTGGCTCTTCTATTTCCCTCCTGACACACTGCGGTGTTCACGTCAACGCTGGTCCTGAGATCGGTGTAGCCTCCACCAAGGCCTACACATCGCAATTCGTTGCCATGGTCATGTTTGCCCTATCTCTTAGTGAAGACCGAGCATCCAAGCAGAAGAGGCGCGAGGAGATCATCGAGGGTCTCTCCAATATCTCTACACAGATCAAGGAGATTTTGAAGTTAGACCAGTCTATCAAGGAGCTCTGCTCCAAGACTTTCAAGAACCAGAAATCCCTACTTCTGCTGGGACGAGGCAGCCAGTACTCGACCGCTCTCGAGGGTGCTCTGAAGATCAAGGAAATTTCTTATCTTCATTGCGAAGCCGTCATGTCTGGTGAGCTGAAGCACGGTGTGCTGGCTCTGGTTGACGAGAACCTCCCTATTATCATGATTTTGACCCGTGATGACTTATTTAAGAAGTCGCTAAATGCTTACCAACAAGGTACGTGGAATTTCCATCTTTATAGCCTAATCTGAGCCAATCCTAACAAGTGTATAGTCATTGCCCGTGGCGGACAGCCTATCGTTATCTGCAACCCTGGCGACGAGGAATTCCAAGCGAGTCCCGCGCAGAAGATTGAGGTTCCTAAGACTGTCGACTGCTTGCAGGGTATCCTCAACGTCATTCCGCTCCAGCTTATCGCTTACTGGCTGGCCGTTATGGAAGGCCTTAACGTCGATTTCCCACGAAATCTGGCTAAGTCGGTCACCGTTGAATAATCTTGAGCGTCTGTCTGTACGATTAGACTGATTACCGGCGGTTTATGAGGCAATGCGGGAGTTTACTACAAAACGATATCATGGTGGGCAGTCGGATTCGGGGCCCTCGAGAGCGCCCTTCGTCTTATATACATGGTAGCGGGATTGTGATTTGGTAAAGGGGGGGTCGGAAGAGAAGATAGTTGCTATCTTCCGTATTCCCCGATGATGCATATTGCCCCCCACGCCTACTCTTGACGTGTGACAATGTACTGCAGAGGAGGTAGATAGGCGATTAGCCATGTATATCGTCTAGGTCGGCCTAGACGAAAATAAAGAAAAATCGATAATGATACGGCGATGCTACTGGCTCGATTCTTGAGATGCAATCTGGCTATTCGTTTGATGTTAATCCCCGTATCGTGATAAGACCTATGAGGCACGATGTAGCTACGATGTACGAACTAACGGTTGGCATGATGCGGGATGCATTTGCACCCACACTTTCTAATAATTAGTGATGGAGATGTTAATAGGTATAAACCCCGGGCCGCACCATGACTTCTGGATTTATAGTAAAATAGCAAGGAATTACTTGTCAACGCAATACCGAGGTTCATGTGTCTTGGCTCTAATGATACAGGATCTTCTTGCTACCCTGTTATTCCCTTTCTTCTCTAATCGATCGGAAGGCATTGCAACCCTGGAGCAACCAAGTATATCTCCTTCATTGTTCTCTCATTTAGATAGATATAGATGATATCGTATCTCGCCTGGCTACTAATGCCGACGAGAGCGATGATCTTATGCTCTTATAACCAACCCCCTGGGCCTTTCGTCTGCGTTGCGGCAATTCTAGCTGGCGGCACCCTTAGTAACTAGCATATGTAGACGTAGACGTAGACTTCGAGGAGTAGGTGGCGAGTAGATAGGTAAGATCCACCGGTTATACGGTCTGGGTGCCGTAGCCCTTGATGCGGTCGGCGAAGGCCCAGCTCTGGTTCTCGAGCTTCTCGCCCTCGGTGAGCTCGATGCCGTCTTTGGTCACGACGGCGAGGGAGTACGTGTCGTGGGAGCGGGCGTCGCGGTAGAATAGCACCTTCATGCACTCCCGGATGACCTCGACGGCCTGCTCGCGCGTCACGTTGGCGACGGATTCCTCGTCCGGCACGTATCGTCGCATGATGGGCTGGGCGAGCATGCTGCCGAAGCCGGTGGCTAGCGAGGGCGACGAGAAGGTGGTGCCGAGGAGGTCGGCGGCGGCTAGGAAGGGCTTGCCTTCCTCGTCGAGACCGGCGACGAGTAGGTGGTTCCACAGCGGGTCGAACTTGGAGCGCCGGTGGTAGAGCAGCTTCGATAGGTACTTGTGCAAGCTGCGGGCGTTGAGCGTGTGTGCTGTCTGCTGGTACGCCTCGTCGATGCCGAGCTCCGTTAGGTGCCGGTCTAGATACTGCATGTCGGAGACGTCGCCGCCGAAGCCGATGATAGAGGTGTCGGCGAAGGTGCGGATGCGCTTTACGTCGGTGAAGCGGGCTAGGGAGCCGTAGGAGGCTGGGGGTATGTTAGTAGTGTTGGGTGTTTGGATCGGTGGTGGTGGGGGGAGTGCTAGATAGATAGGTAGATAGGTGGGAGGAGGATGTGTGCGTACCCAAGTTATCTGCTGCCATGACTACACCGTCCTTGAACTTCATCGCCACTACCGATGTTCCCGTTACGACGGGGGACTGGGTGTGCTGGTTGGGACCGTTGGTCTGCATGTATGAGGCATCGTAGGCGCCGTAGACGTCGTCTCTGGGCTGTGTAGAGTCGGATTTGTTAGTCAACTCTTGTTCTCGACTCTGGACACACCAGCCAGCTACTTACACGGCCCCAAGCTTGCGGTCGATGATCCATATTGGATTGAGTTGGGCAACGGGATCAGGTTCGGGTGTCGAGACTGAAATGGCCCTCAAAGTTACGTTGGTAGTGTGGCGGCAAAAAGAGGACCTAGTTGTCGCTTGTGAAATATGAAGTTGTAAGGCTGATATTGATGGGATGCAGCGAAGCTCCAGTATCTTTTGGACGTTGAACCTCTGGAGCTTGGAGCTGCGCGTCAGTTCTGCCTTCCGGACTAGGCTGTTGAGGTACGTACCTACCTATTTTACTCTGGATGTACCTAATGGAGGTCATCAGCTGTTTGACGGCTGTCGGTGTTGTCTAATCTGTATATACTGTATCGAGACCCACTTCGAATTTAGGATACGTAGGTACCGACGTTAACTTGCGACGAACTTGCGATGAGAAACTCACTGCATTTGTGACATTCTTCCAGTTCGTTCTTAGATGATTGTCTAGTAATTTACCCTAAACTTCATATCAAAGTAGTATCCCCGACTTAAAATTTCAATCAAATCACTACCTAGTCAGATCAGGCCCTTTAGCTCTAAAATGGCAGGCCTTGTGAGCTACGAAAGTAGCGACGATGAAGAAGTCGTGCAGCAGCAGCAGCCAGATCCAAAGGTATGAATGAAAACATGAGATGATAATATACAATTGCACCGGTAGGCATTGGACAGCACTGATTATGCCGAGGCCAGCCGCTGAAACAAACTCAAGATACTATTATCAGTCTGGATAAGAAGCCAGGTAAGTGTCTTGTACTATCTATCTTACATCGAGTCCTTCATCCCTTCTCTAACAAGTGAACAGACGTCCCCGCAGAACCCAGCGCTGCCTCACAAAAACCAGATGAGCAAGCAGCAGCCATCATCGGGCCACAGATCGGCCCAGCAGCAGCCGCAGGTCCCAGCTTCCCCCCGCTGGAAGAAGCACCCCTAGAAGACGACGAGGACAGCAGCCCCGGCCTACCCCCAGGCTCGCCGTACACAGCAACCCGCGCGCTCCTGCGGGACCTAACGCTGCCCCCCATTCCAAACACAGCCATCCCGCCATCGCCCCCGGGCTCACCGCCCCCCGGCACAAGCGCCAAGTTCGAGCGGTTCCTCGAGCTCAAGCGGCAGGGCGTGCACTTCAACTCGCGCGTCGCCCAGAACCCGTCCCTGCGCAACCCCGCGCTCACCGACAAGCTGCTGTCGTTCGTCGACCTCGGCGCCCCGCCCGACCAGTACCGGACTACCCTGCCCGCGGATATCTGGGACCCGGCTGCGTTCCCGCGCTGGGCGTACCGCGAGCAGCTTAAGCAGAGCCAGAGCGAGGTCGAGAAGGCTAGGGCTAGGACGAAGGGCGCGCCGGTGGATTTCGTGGTGGCGGCGGCGGCGGCGGCGGCGGCGGGGGATGGGCAGAGTGCTTCGCTGGGAGGGGGTGCGTCGAAGGCGAGTACGAGTACGGGGAAGCGGAAGACGAGGTTTGATGCGTAGGATGGATGTTTTGGATTTTTACGCTGGCACAGTTGTCTATCTTGAAGGGAGGATAGTAGATATGTGTGAGTGAGTCTTCAAGATAGTTCGTATTATCTATCTATAAGCTTCACGCTCTAACTATTCTTAGGTAGTTGGCTAATTTCAGATACCCATTTCCTCATTCATTTGTGTGGTTCGTGTTTATACGTATATTTGGTATAGTAGCGACATATGAAAATTCTCATATGGGACCTGTAGTCCCAAAGACTAGACTACCTAGGTAGGATATCGTTCCGCGATATGTATACAATGAGTGTGGTTCCTAGGTACGTCAAAAAGCATCCTTATTCCATTTACTTCAATTTAGCCCTTCCAAGCAAAACGTGCGTCCTTCGTAATTCATCATGTATGTATCAGCAACGTGCTCAGAATCTTCCATGAGCATGGTCGCACTCCTCCAAGAATCGGTAGATACCTTCGAGGCCCTCAAAGTCTTCCGAACAGTGCTCACCCGAACTAATCGGTGGCGACATACTCTCGTAGCCTTCTAGGTCGTCGGGTAGGGACGTCCATGGGTTGTCTTCCATCTCGCTGAAGCCCTCTTCGAAGAGCTCCTCTTCTGCGGGGAAGAAGCTACCTTGAGACCTTAACGAGCGGCCGGGCGAAGTGAGTGTTCTTGCGTCATTGCTATTGGCACCGGGGGCAAAAGGGAACTTTAGTGCCATCGAGACACCTGTTTCAGCTGCGAAGTCTGGGTCTTCCCTTACGACGCCCCTTGTCAGCCCGAGGTCATCGCACAAGGACTCTACGGTCTCAGCGTCAACACCGGGGAAGCGGACCCGCAGTGTATGGCCTTTCTCGAGCTGTATTGGAAGGTCTCCTAGCGAGGAGAGTTTCTTAATATCCGCTAAGGTCGCGGTAAGGTCCTTCAGAGCGCGGGCGAAGTCGACCGACAGAACGTCAAGGAAGCCGTCGGTGTTGAGGGTTGTGGCGTCGAGGGCGGGGAACTTGAAGCCGGCGGAGGGGTAGGGGAACGCAGCAGCGAGGGGGCTGAGAGAAGTGACGGTAGGGCTTAGGTGGAAATCGATGAAAGAGCCTGGAATGTTGCGTCTTGCAGCCGCCAGCTTGCGGGTAGTCTCGTCTTGAAGAGTTGAGACCGTGCGATACTTCCTCTCGCCGCGGGGGGTAAGCCCGTCAAACTGTGCCTTCTGGCCGGAGATCCAGAATGCTCTGACCGCAGCCGAAACGTTCTGGACGACCTGGGCCTGAGCCGCGGGTGCGTGGGAGAAGTAGCGAGCTCCGCCCACACGTCCGGACCCGAGACCGTATCCGCCAGCGGTACGAGGGAGGGCACCTCCGGTGAGGTTCGGTCGCAGGGTGCTAGCGAAGGGGGCACGGCCCGTGATCTGAGCAACAGCGCGGCCGGTCTGCGTGTTGAGGAACTTGGACCGGTCGACCCGGGGCGCGGCGTCAAGCCGGCCAGTGCTCATGAAGCGGCGGATCGCAGCGTTGATGTTCTTATACGTAGTCGTGGTGGTCGAGTGCCATCGTCGGGATTTCTGCTGGCGTAAAAACGCGGAGGGATGGATAGGGTGGCGCGGGTTGGGTGCGTTGCGTACGAGGACGGGTTGGAGGGCGGCGTTGTTGGGCGGGCGAGCCGCTGCTGCGAGCTTGGCCCGGATCATCTTGCTCGCCTTGAGGGCGGCAGTACGGACGACCCGCAGCGCGGTGGGCGCCCATATGCCGCCTCCACCGAGAGGGGCGAGCATCATGTTTTCCACTTGGAGTTCGTCGTTATGCGGCGAACTGACGAAGTGAGGAAAAGAGGTTGGTCTGGAGAGGGAAGGGGAAGAAGGTAGAAGGAGGGCGGGCGGTGACGATGCTACCTACCTATCTACACCCGATAAGGACCCTTAGATAAGCATATGTGGCGTAGCACAAGTTGCCACAAACTAGTCAGGTACCTAAGTCTCGATTTGGAAGTCGGGTCCAGAGTTCCCCACCCAAGCAATTTTTATTTTTATTTTCTTCCTTGCGTCCTCAATAAATCTTTTTCCTTCCTTCCTAACAACTTTTCATCTTTGCACATTTGCTCAAGTTTTTGAGTTTCTATGACTTGGATGGAACGCGAGTCATGGATCTCAGTTCCTCATTCTTAGCAGCTATTTAATTATGCTGTGTTATTATCAGGTTAGTTGCGCTCTACTACGTCTTCCCGATGCTCTTTGCTATGACGAAGGAAAAATTGAACAATCCAAATCTTACAACACAATGGGGATTAAGTCTCTAGAATTACACTGAGCAAATACCATCGGGATGCATTTGCAGTACGACCATGGCGATCAATCGAATGCTAATTCGACCCAGATAGGTTCCTGTTGATCAGCTGGGTGACTCCCTCTACGATTTTCCAATTCATCAATAAAAGGTACGTTCTTTTTCTTACCAAGTCAAGATATTTCCATACTGTTTCCACCGAGGGGTGATGAAGAAATCAACAAACCTAGGGAATTCCTCATTCCGAATACATTATGTAGATTTTGTTTAGTTTCAGCCTTGTCTGACCTCATAACCTATTCCGCTCGTTATTAGATGACATGTTTGCGTACAATGCTAACTCGTCTGCTCAAATAGGTACGACTTATTCTACTACAAACCCATCCTATTCACATGAGGATATCTTGAACGAACGGGCGGACATAAATGAACCCTCGTCCCTTCTCTCGTTCAAAGCGAGGACGTACAATCCTTGTGAGAGGAGGATCGCGGGGGATTCTTGTTGAGAATTCGTCAGCTGATTGTGTCTTGTCGACTCGAGCGTATTATCGTTAGAGGTTTTGGGGCGTAGCTAACTTGTCTCGATAGGTATTGCCATCTCTGTCTCTTAGTTATTATCCTCGTAAAATGATGATCATTATTCACACTGTTTGATCCTGTCCAATGGGCTTGGAAATGAACATTACAAAAAATTCTGATTTAATGAGGTATGCGCCCATCCCGATATTGGCAATTATAACCAAAGCTAACATAAGTAGACTGATAACTTTTACTTATTTACACTTCGCTCGTTGTACGTCTTAGTTGATGTCGCTAACTCGATGGTCGCGATAGGTAACTTGAGCTTTACGGATTTTGAAGACGTACTATCTCTTGAAGGTTAGTGGCTTCTCTCTACTTTATACTTAAATGTAAGCCTCGCGGATGACAACCTTCTGCATAATGTCGGAGTTCTTCATGACGAAACTTTTCCGTTCTATCACCTTGGAGAACTGAAGAGGCTACAAGCATGCTCTTGATTGCATATATTATATGTTAACATAGCTAACCTTTCTTAGACTTCGTTATTGTTCTGGACCAGAATTGTGTGAGCTTCTACTTCGGAGCATTAAGCTATTGGATCAAGTAGCTACGTGTGCAGTGGTTCTGCTGACGCGTTTGAGTCTGGGACAGGAGAGGTGGTTTATAATCCTTCTAGGTTATACATATATAATAATATAATGACACTAAACAAGTGTTATGAAGCACCTCATGTTACACCTACAATAACTGTGTATGTGGTGTGCGTACTATCGGGATGTTAGTCTGTCAGTCTGTCGGCTTGGATTTTCTGGGGAAAGTGGGTCGTATTACCAATTGCCGCGTCGACTGGGGTCTAGACCCTTGTTGCATCATGGATCTACACTACCTCTTCGGACCTCCTACAGTTATGAGCCGTACGTTCTTTCTCTTGTAAAACACACGTATCAGCGTATGTCCCGCTACTACCGTTCCAGATGGACTGAGATGCTTAGTTCGTGTCAGGCTTTATTAATATTTTCGTATCATTTCCCGTACGATATCTCCGCAGACTTTAGATTTGGTCACATTGTTCGATTCGACGAGTCAACCCCACTAGCTCATGTAGCTCTTGCATCGCCAACGGGACTTAGATATCTGCATAATATGTGTCTAGTCTCCTCAGACAATAAAGTAAGTGGTGTTATCCTCAAGCCACCGATTTAGGTAGCGGGGAGTGACAATCGAAATGCTCTGATTCGATCTTACTGATATGAGCTTCCGAGATCTCCTTGTTCTTATTGCTTTGCGGGGTAATAGAATGCCGTTTTGTACATCGCTCCTCTATCAGGCAAGGATGGAGCTATACCTCGTCTATGACGTTGGTCTGTCTGAACGGACATGTATAAGTACATGTTGCCTCATAATCCAAATACTGCTGCTTCCACTTTGTTACTCGTCATATTCATGTACTGTACCTCTTCGGATAACGCAGAAGACTACCTACACTAACTTAAGGTCGTACGATCTGGGCTGCGAGGAAGTGGACTAACGGTAGGATAGTCTGATAGTCAGTCAACCCGATGCCCTAGCTCATTGGTGAAGTCATCACCGGGACTCTATCCCCGAGCGCTGGGTGGCTCCCCTCGCTGATCAATCAACCTAGCCTAGACAATGGAAGGGGTGCGGTAGCTTAGTGTATGTACTTGCATCTATCATCTTGCGTAGTAGTGTCGATACTCATCCCCGTTGGTGTCTATCGTCGTTTGATTATGAAGGTCGCGTGGTCTGTTCGGTACACTGTGAGCATACATACATACATACATAAAAGGGATCAATCCCTCCCTCTCCCACCTTCATCTCCGTTTCCCTGCTATATTCATCCCACTCATCACTTAGATATCCCACACTTCCCCTACGCGGATATTACTTTGTGAAACCATATCATATCAAATATCAAGTTGATCGACATCAGCAACTACACTTCGTCTTCCACCATCCCTAAAATCATCAACATGGACAGCGACAAGGCAAACAACCCTACACCGGCAGGTCCCTCTCGACGACGAGTACGTTCTATATCCTCCTTTTCAGTCCATGTTACTATTGAACAGCCGCCTTTATCAGCTGTACTCCCTTACTAACACGCACCACCTCTAGGGCTCTGGACCAACCTTCGAAGGCCTCATGAACCAAAAGCGAGCCAGTGATCCTAATACCCTTGCTCGCCGTGCTAGTCTACATGACCAGAAGCCCCAGGCAGGCTTCTTCGGACAGATGTGGTACAAGTGAGTTCCCTCATATCCCTTCTTCTTCTTCTTCTTCTTCTTCTTCTACATGTAAGAGAGGTAACTTGGACTGACCACAACCGAACTATAGCTTCACACGCGGCCCGCAAAGCCCTACGAAATAAATTCGCATACCATGAATACCTACCTAATTACGAAAGCACACGGATTAAATGACTGCCAGAGTTGTATTGATGGGGAAGTTAAACCCCCAAAAGAGCTGTACCACACGCACGCACGCACGCACATTTGGCGAAATAGGGGAGAACAGAGGTTCCAGATACCAATTGCTAGTAGAGTGCTCATTAGCCAAACTGCAGGATATGAAGATAGCCGCTTGCAATGTTGAGACGGATGGGAAACGAGATAACCGGCGTCCGCTTGGCGATGTATTGTTGTTAGGGATACGCACTTAGCAATATCACAAACAGAAGTTTACAAGTACTTAACTGGGCCTCGTCTTCTATGTTATTTAATGTCGGTGATATAATAATACTGACTGATGTTTCCATTACATCTATTGGTTATTTATTAAACGCTTAATCGACTATATCCGTCATGAAGCACCTCATTGCCATGTAGTCTTAGTAAAGCCACGTCGTACCACATAGACCCAATCAATCTGTCGTGCCTGTCAAGAAGTTAATAGTAGACATCTCATGTTAGTTTAGATTGTTATTATCCATGCTATGATATATAAATCTCACTTTAGGTACCTAGAACTGCAATAAAAAAAAATAGTAACTAGACCGACTACATCACCAATTCGAACACATCACAGAAAGTTATCTCGCCAAAAAACAAGTGGAAGCAATGTCTGGCTTGAATCCAAGCTATCTAGCACTATCCTCCGCAAGAGAATCCAACGGCATCCCACTTAGACAGAAACCCCCCACCAGTTGCTCCCTATTGTCAATTTTCTTAGTTTTTTTTTATGTCTTTCCTTCTTTTCCTTTTAAATAAGAGAAATGTTTATCCTAAATGTAAATATAAATTTTATAAGGAACCTGCCACGTTCCCAACCGCGAGATGATCAAGCCGGTTGTTTTGTATCGCCCGGATCAGACGCGTTTCCAATCGAGCCGGGGGCCTTTGAGACAGTGCGGGCGAACCCGCGAAACCTGTCCGCAGAGAGACGCGACCAGCCCAGCCCCAAGTCAGACAACACCTACAGAAACGCTGCGGCGTTGTGGACCTTTTGCCTTCCTACCAAAACTAGCTCCCACGTCTCCGGGTGGCTTCGCACCGGTTCCGGGGACGACCCGGAGTTGGTGCGAAATAGGCAGCGTTAACGACGTGGGAAGGGTTCTCCTCGGCCTAGTCCGAGACGCTGGCTCCGGAGCAAAGTAGCTTCTGCCGAGGTTCGCTAGAGAGATTGATGACTATGTAGTCTTGACGGATCATCTCTTGCGTTCCGGCATATTGCCCTTACTATCGCGCTTATCTCCTTCAGAAAGAACCCAAGTATATGGAGGTACAGACAGCCGTTACCTCAGGCTCAGGGCGACGCAGAATTATATTTCTCGTCTCAACACCATCATGAGCCGTAAGGGGCCGTCCCGTGATGCCGGCGTAGTATGCCGAGGCACCTCGGTTGTATAGATCAGCTCGATTGCTAAAAACTTCGAACAAAAAAAGGGTATTCAGGCTTCCCCTACGGAAGATCCCCAATAAAGAGAAAACCCCAATCCCAGAGTCAGCACTTCGCTGGCTAGCCGGGCCGTGAAATCGACCGGTACAGGCATACCAGGTCGTATCCATAACCGCCATTTAGCGCAAGCAAAATTTTTGGAGCGCTTGGCGTGTAAGACCAGCATCATCTCATGATCGAGATGCTGTAATTTAATGCAGCAAATGATGCCCTTTATAGCAGCAATAGCCACTATGTCGATGAATTACGAACATTTTTTTGTCCGTGTCTTTATTAGTGTATCGGTAGCCCTGGAATATGTATATGAAACAGCAAGCAATAGCCTCGGTGTTTTGCATTACAGGTTCAGGATCGGCTATGATGCCACCCAATAATTCATGGAGCAAGGAGTAATCCTTCGAACGCCACAAAAATAAACTCTGGAGAAATGAAATCCAGAGGAAGTCGTCCAGGTAATGATACCCGGAGCGAAGAGGGCCGTTTATCGTCATGCCCAGGACGATAACTGTAGAGATTACCGTGTAGATCTGCAGTGTATTAGTATGTATTAATGCTATTGGCTTCCTTGGAAAACTTACATAACATTGGCGCTTGAATTGCCCCTGGATCCTTGTGAACACCTGAAATGCTAGATCGTACAAGTAATAAATTTGCCGTACCGTATCTATCCGCGTGAAGAGTCGTCGCTTTTACTAGATATTACCTCATCGTTATCGTCGTACATGCCGAATTGGAACTTAGTCGAACGTAGAACTCTAGATCGTACATCTACCTAATCTAGCATGTTAGCTACCGCCTTGTCGGACAGGGTACTGAAGGGGACAGTACTTACCCTATATGACGAATAACGCTATATGACCTCTAAAGTGCCGATAAACTGATAATCATATGAAAACTCATGATATTCGTGCATCCTGTGGTAGCTGTACATGCGCGATGTCGTTGCCTGAGGCAAACGCAATACCACGCCAAAGAAGGCCTTTTCAATGTCTTGCCGAGGACTTGGCATTAAACCCGGATCAAATAGATCTACGTGGCTGCTCGTAGGCCTTTTTCGTCATTCCGTCATGCCTAGGACCGTCAACGTCGGGAGTCCATATGTGCTCCGCGACTACTTGGGCCTTTTATCGTCCTGCCCAGGACGACGCGACGTGGCGCGGAGTCGACTTATCAAGGAGCAATAACGAGGGTTACATCATTTGGAGAGTTCGCCCAAAGGAAATCGCTGGATAGGTGGGGTTATATATACCCGAGACTCTGAAAAGCCACATCTAAATAAAATTTGTATTAGTCTACGTGATTGTATGACGATGGTCAGGAAGGGGAAATAAGCTTACCATGTTCTGACTGTGGTGTATGGGCTAGTCGCCCTATGTAATGAGGGGAGTGAGGAAAGACGCGCCATCGGTTAGGCAATACCCCACCGGACTTATATAGTCAAGGACTCGTGTGTTTGGGTTAGGGCATTTTCCAAGAACTATACGTATTGGAAACTGCTGAGCTATGTCAACACAAGCAGCCGTGGTATGAGCTCAATGTATATTAAGCACGGAAGCCGCGTATCCATTGTGAAAGCTGGAATGTGGAATGTGAAATGTGAAAGTAGAAGATAAGGCTTTTGGGTTTGGCAACCCGAGCGTCTGCCTTAATTAGGTTTGACTCATTACGTAATTGAGATTTGTCATACTGGCGGGGATAGGGGAGTATGTTTTTTTCCGAGTACCGGGTGGATCCGGATTGCCCAATGCGGCTCAAGTCGGTGTAATCCAGTCTTGATGACATTTATGTGATGTAAGTAGGACAGGTTATATATAGTTTCTTGTTAGGCAGGATCTCGGTTTTATATGTCATTCTCTGGATGGATGGTAAATGAATTCTCCACATTGGCCTTTTTCTTACACTGGTTTAGTAGTTTAACACTATTAGACTGTGTATTTTCTCCTAAAGTGCGAACTTGATATTGAATTAGAGTACTGTACATAAAAAGAAAAAATCTTTCCCTGCAAACAGGCTGTCCACTTCTTGATTTAGCTAGGTTTTTTTTTTAATTAATTTAAGTCACTTAGAAATACGATGAGTCATTTAAGGTGCACGAGATCTAAGTGTATAACCGTGTTGATTAAGGAACCAAGTACGAGCTTTGCTACCATAGTTTAGAGATCGCCTTATCTAATAGCTCTGCTGATTTTGTAATACAATGAGCTAAGTTGCTGAGGCTAGCTCCGTGATTATTTATTTATTAAAAAAAATTCATTTTTTTTTCTGTTTGCTTTGGTTTGCTTGGCTTTGACCTATGAGTTCGCACCTTGGAAAATAGTGTGTATGGTAAAACAGAAGAACTCTGCTATGACCTACTATTTGGTACATGCCTCAACGTGTGTGCTTAATTTGTCTGTTCGTTCAGATTACTGTCTGTATGCTACTTAATGGACTGTATCGCGTTTCAATTGGTGGCCGTGGGAAGGGGGAGAGAGGGCGTTGAGAGTGTCACGAGGTGGAACGAAACAGTATGGAAACAACTTCGTTGTTCCGCAAGGAACTCTAAACTACCTATGAAGATCTTTCGTCTATACATACTGAACAGTTCCTTTGTTCTAGATGTCTCATCTAGAATCCTGACAGAGAGCCGTATGTCAGCAGAGAAGAGGTAGGTCAGTTTTAATAATTACGAAGGATCCGTACTCACGAAGGTGTTTCCCAAACGTATATAAAGCATTAATTGCATCCTTGAATTTAACAGCCCTCAGACGGCCACGGTATTGCTAGTTACCTCGACTTCTATTTTGTCGAATTGCGAAGTAGAGATCTGTAATACATTCTTCAGTCGTCTGAAGCCAAACTATGTCCCATGGGCATCAGGTCCAGTGAATAGGAATTCTGTTTCAGTCTTATGGGCGTAAATTATCTTTCTAGTGTTAACGTGACTGAATATTTGCCATTAGGAACGAATAAGACATACCGAGGCTCCTCATTGGCGATCTGCGAGACGAGCCTGAATGTAGGTTCGTGGTATGACAAGAACTAAACAGTATCATTCGCAAAGCTTGGGTCGTCAGGGAGAACGATAGATGCTTGAAGTGATAGGGAGGATCTCAAGCAGCCGACAAGCTGTGCGGTAATGAACCCTACACGAAAGAATTACACAAAGGCAACAACGCTTGAGGGGCATATCGCCTTGATTTATTTATAGCATTTATTCTGGTGGGTAGCTATAACGACCTGTTCTTGCGTGTCCGATGGCGTATCCGGAACGCCACACGGCCTGCTCACTTTGAAATAGTTTAATATAGGAACTGCCTAGGTACTTTCTTGGATTAAATGGGCACGCTATTGGGATAATGTTTTATGACCCTCGAAAATCCCCCCATTAGCTCCATGATAGAAAAGAACTATAGACTCCAAAGAGTTCAGATCCGTATAGTGCAATTGGAATAAAGCCATAATATTAAACACATGCTCTGCCAATAGTGTAAAATTCCGACGTTATAAAATCTCAGCTCGGATTATTACATGTAGCTCTTGGGCACGTTTAAAACCTGAATGTTTACTTACAAGTTATATGTCAAATTACTTAGTTGTCGGGTTGGATACCGCGTTTATCGTAATAGGCTTCCGAGAAGAAATATGGAAGAAATAAGCCACCAACTTTACTGTAATTGGGCATGATCTATCATCGCATATCCAAAGGGCCGCCGTCCTATTGCAAGTGTAACAAAATGGAGCCCAAAGAAAGTCTGAGACTTCCTTTCGACTGGTCGGGAGGGTTGGGACTGTGACTATCTAAATTGAATATTGACTTGTCGAGATCTTTAATCGTCATTTTAACTTCTTAAAGAAGACGCTGTAGGACGGTCCGAATCCGGGATCCGAACGCTCCGCAAGCTTCTCAACCGTGTGATGGCGTTGGACACAACAATTGCTTCACCGGGTTGGTCGCAATTTACTGAGAATAGATTGTTGCGGTTTCCTTTCAAAGAGCAGGAGACGTAAAGTAGAATGACAAAGACCCCTAAATGCTTAAGCAGGTATTGTACCTAGGTACCTAGGGTACACAAGCAACGTCTAGAAATAAACATCTTCATACACCCCATCCGCTCCATCTTCGGACCTCCCTTGACCTCCATTTACCCAGATAGACGGAATACGTAACAAATAAGGAGGTACCTAGCACAGCATATAAATGATGCGATTGCCGGACTTAAGATCTCGATGCCGGATTTAACTTATTTCCTTCTGTAAAATCATGGTGTCACACGTCGGAGTTTGTGGTTAAGGAGATAATTGAGACATCGACAGGCCAAATAAGTGGTGGGTATGCGTATATGTAGATTGATATAAAGCTTCACGGTCACCCACCCTACAGCTAAAGAGAAACACGATGTACCTATATAATCATAGATGGTAGTATTCAACTCCTAAGCCTATTCCAGTTGCATCGACATCTTGTCAAACATTGAACCACATTCATCATGGCGAACCAAACCATCTTCATGACCGGCGCCAACGGCTACATTGGCTCTCGCATTACCGAATTCGCTGTCGCCGAAGGTTATACCGTCGTTGGCCTGTCTCGCTCCGAGAAGGGTGACGAGACGCTTAAGGCCCTTGGAGCCTCTTCCATCCGCGGCGACCTATTCTCGTACGATATCCTGAGAGAGCAGAGCGCCAAGGCGGACATCGTCATCCACCTCGCCGACGCCCTTGCACAAAATATGGACCAGCCTTACTCGAAGGTGGTTGAAATCGACAACAAGGTCGTAGATGCCATCACCGACGGCCTGAAGGGCACCAACAAGACCTTTCTCGTTACCTCGGGTACTCTTGTCACGGCCGCGGACCCGAACCACGGAGAGACAAACGAGACATCACCGTTGTGGCGAGAACCCCTCAACGACCGCATAGGCTGCGAGACGTATGCTCTAAAGCAGGCTTCTAAGGGAATCAGAGTGATTGCGCTACGCTTAGCCCCATACGTCTACGGGCGTGGCGGCAGCGGTGTCCGTCTCTTCATGGACTTTGGCGCCCAAGCTGGCGAGCTCGCCTACGTAGACGACGGATCAGTCAAGACCACTACCGTGCACGTCGACGACGCCGCCCGCGCGTACCTCCTAGCTATCAAGAAAGGCCGAGCCGGCGAGGCGTACAACCTGAGCTACGAGACAGACGTGTCGGTAAAGGAGCTTTTCGAAGCTATGGGCAAAGTCTTGGATCTCCCGGTTAAGTCTCGGCCCGCCGCCGAGGCGAAAGCGACGATGGGAGAGTTTCTCGTCGGGTTCATCAGCACGGAGAATCGAGCGTCTAATGCCAAGGCAAAGACAGAGCTGGGCTGGCAGCCGAGGGAGAAGAAGATTGTTGATGATATCCTTAACGGTTCGTACGTGGAGGTAGCTAAGAGCATGAAGAAGCCTGCTGCCTGAGAAGTGAAGCCGCATCGCGGCAAATAGAACGAGAATATGTAGATATACAATCTGAAGCGTGCCTTGCTTAAGAATCAGGTAGTTTCTAGTAGTCCTTTTCAGTATCTTGAAGTCTTATTCCATACTAAGCTTTTGTGTTGTTACTTGTGGGTTACATTTGTCCAATTTATTTTGTGAGCCAGTGTCAGGGTATAAGTGGGCTAGGGGTAGCTACAGGGGTCTATCTACTACCTATATAAGGGGCGAGCAGCGCCCTCGTAAGAGGATAGAAGGCCAGGCGTTACTAGTTCAATACTATCTACTACCTGATCTACCTATCCTAGGCACTTACTCTTTGTATGACAACTATCAAAGGGTATCTCTGACAGCCAGCCCCAACATATTTCTCCGCGTGATTGCTAAATACCAACTACTTTTAGCGAGGCGAAAATATTAAGACTGAAGGAATATTCCCTTTGTCAAATTTATCTCATTAGGTACGTAGGAACTCTTCACAAGCGATGATTGATGATTAAAACTAAGTGCCAGGCAACGTGTCGAGAGCGCGAATGACTACTCCCAAGCCTGGGTTGTATTTAATGGTGGGATGAGAGGAAAAGAGAGGCAAAAATAATGATTCTCTTATATTTTCCTAAGTCATATCTAGTGACTGGCATTTAGGCCTGCAAATCTAGAAAAATGAAACTACCTATATTGAAATTCTATCTGACCCGTAATCGCGCAAGACCATACCATGGCTATTGACCTTACACCCGCTTATTGAGTTGTAAAAATAGCAAAAACAGGCAGCAAATAGCTACAATGGAGATGTTACCTTCATTTAGCGTAAGAAGCACTAGTTTCCGAGAAAGTTAGCTGCTATATCGTTCTCCCAATTTGCCTAGCTTTGGCTAAGGCCAAGATTCATCGCCAGAAGTTGCGAAAATACTCCAGAATCAGTTGTATGAGAGGTACTTGGCCACCCTGAAGATGAACCTTAGAGCTATTCCGTTTTAGAGTCTCGGCGTTAAATGGCGAATACGGGGGGTCTAGTGCTCCAGTACTATATATCTGGAGCTCTCTGGGATTGATGGTCAAATGGTCTATGTGTAGCCAATCTATGTGCCAAATACTCAGCTTATATCCCATTATGATGACATGCTTACAATCAATATTCTTACTGCCAATACGATTATTATTACCCACGACGGAGATGTTATTGAACTCCCCCTGTTGCATAAAGTCGGACCGGGGTAACTGTATTGGAGGAGACCTCCAGTTCCCTTGACTGATTTCTTCGACATGGGCACGATGCTCCCAATCGACGTGGAAGCCGCAGGAATAGTAGCTACATATTGCTCGTCTAATCCCTAAAATATCGTACATTAGATATCGTGAGGATGTGTATAGTAGAAACCCTACCGGTGTCAAGCTTGGGCTCCCCTGTTTCGTCTAGCAGTGCTAAGAACAAATACGGAGCTCGTGCACCACAGCGACATGTTAAATCTTCGCCGTGCGGGTTGGTTTTAGGAGCCAGTGGCATGTTGATATAGTATCTAGGCAGGTAGTTTTGGTAAACGCCTCGTACTAGTGCTAAGGAGAAACCTATTGGCAGGGACAACGTTGTGCGAGTCTCGAATGAAAAAGTTGCTCGGGGGAGAATTGCGAGGTACCATGTTTTATAATTACCTTGCGTTGAGAAATAACTTATAGAAAAACATAAGATAAGTGTACATTCTGAACAGCCTCAATGCCGCGAAGTTGACACATTGGTGACATTTCTGTGATACATACCGACTGTACTAAGCATGAGCATGTTAGGCTGCTGAACATGTTGAATAGGTACCTAAGGTAATAACCCAAACGGTAGTAAGTCCTGGTGCGTAGATTCGAAAAAAAAAGGGGGAGAGGTGGCGTAAATTGAAAGTTATCCACTTGGGTAATATCAGACCAGACTCTACCTAATCACTGGGTCTTACTGGTTTGAAGGTTTAAATATAACTTATTTATTCACTTATTCATATTAAATCGAACTCTGAGTAGGTAGCATTAATACAATCATGTTTCTAGGTCTCTTATTTTATCATATTCGATTCCCCATACCATGTCGGATCCATCATATCATATCTAGTTCGCCATATCATTCGCGCAAGATATCTCTCCATATGCGGAAAAGGCCTATTTGTCTCTTGCATCCCTCCAAACCTTTGAGTTTGGTTCAGCTCTCGTCTTGTTTTGGTCTATATGCGTGATCGGGCCTTGCCTAAAATCTAGATCAAAACGTTCGTTGCCATTGACATTCTCCAGAGGCCGGGTTGTTTCAATAGGGGGGCGTTACCGGGGGAGTTACCGGGGGTGTTGCCGGGGCCATCGCTATGGGCATCGACGTGGGCGTCGCCAGGGGAATCGAGTTCGTATTGTTTGTGCCGCTCTGACCGTTCTGACCGTTCGGGCCGGTCGGGCTGTCCCGGGTCGCGTAATTATTCATCAATCCGGAGTTGAATAATGATATCATCACTTGAGGATCGTGAGCCCCAGCGAAGGTGCCATGGCCATTGCCCTTGACATCCTTCATCATCATGTCACGTTCTGTGGAATTGGCGAGAATCCAACCGTTTCCATTGATGTCGAGATTCTCGATATGAGTGCCACGCTTAGGAGAAGTAATGCTAGGGGATTGCTGTAATTCTATGTTAATAAGAATTCTTTCCTAACCATTAATCTCGAAACTACGTACCACAGTTTGATCTGCCTCAGCAGGGTGATTGTTTTGCTCTTGGCCAGACCGTCCTTGATTCATTTGGATATCATCTGAAATAGGACGAAAACTATGTTAGTAGAATGCTTTTAGACTTGTAGTGGGTGAAGATAGGGGGGAAGTCTTAGACGGGGGTTAGGCTCCACTTACGGGATGGTCCGTTCGGACTAGATATCTCTTGGGTCGTAGTATGCGTATCTTCCTTTACGGGTTTACCTTGTTCCATCTTGGCGTAGGAGCCTCTCGCAATCGATCTGTTAAGGGTGGTAATCGTTAGGATAAGTGTGGTTTTATCGTGTTCCAGAGATTGGAAAAGTTGAATGATTCGGGCTTCTACTGTTCTGGCTGACAGCGCACCCCTCATTCTTGTAGTAAACCGTATCTTAAGTCCTGGACTACTGACAGGGCTGTAACGTGGTAGAAGAGTGCCTAGATCTCGAACCTTCGGGTACATTGCCTCTATGATATGCAATATGTTGCTCGTGTGCAACGTCGGGTTCAGGCGGATATCCGTAATTGCATTGTCGAGGGCCGTGAGCTGGGTGAGCCATCCTTGGCATTTACCATGGGCATTCTTTAGGAACTCTCGAAGCTCTGCAATCAACTCGAGGATTTTGACAGCTGTTCCAACGAGCTGCCCTGCGGCCGCAACGGCACCGAGAACTTCCATACCACCCTTTTAGGAGATTAATAAAAATTCGATTCTAATTCTTGATGTCAAGAATAAGATAGCCTCTTGGTCAGCCTGCTCGAAAACCTACTTGAAAGTCGAAAATTGGTGGCGGTCAACCTAGAGCCTTGTTGAAAAAAGAATGGAAGATGGTAAGGCATATTATATCCCCTAAGGTGATACAATGTCGTATCACATCCCTTATCACCCAAAGCATTTACGGGTTCTAAATTACTCAGCCCCATTTTGCAAATAATAGGATGCTTCCCATCATATCATCTATGGTTATTTCTCACTGTTCCAGTTTACAATGCATTTACCGAGGTGTTTGCTATTGATTCGTGGCACTCTGTTAGACGTTACAGCATGTGGCGAGGCATTATTCGTTTAGCCAATGAGAAGTACCTAGGCATCCTTTTGGAGTCTGCCTACATGTAGGTCCTGTTGTATTTCCTACTTCAGTGAATAGGGCGTTATTGAAAGCTGGACCCAAGCCCGTCTCTATTCCACATTTTCTATGAATTCAAGGCGTGGTATCTCCCACTCGTACTCTCTGATTAGATTAACCATTGATTCTAGGCCCTCCCGTTCCGCTATACGTAGTCCCTCGTTTTCAATCCACTCGTCAAGTGGTGCTCCAAATTCCACCAATAGCCGGAAAACCGACTCGTTCTCGCCCCTCACTGCCTGTAGTAGGGCACCACCCCAGTCAACAATGTGGTGAACAACGTTTTCCAGCAGTAGCCGTACTATACGAAGATTTCCATGCCAAACAGCTTGGAGTATCGAAATACGATCGGCTTTAAACCCCATTTCTAGCAGGTAAACAACTGTGCTGAGGTGACCGTATCCTGCTGGTCCACCAAGAGGTCCGCAAAGTCTATACTTCTTGCTTTTGTTTAGATCTTCAACTGATAGACCGAGCTGCTTACAGAGCTGGATAACATGTTCTATTAGCGGTATGTTCCCGGCCGCAGAAAAACAACATATTAACTTCAAAAGAACACTAAGCCTAGTTAAAGAGTTGGCGTAATCAGGCGGCCTTTCGTACTCGATCATACATTCGTCGTTCAGCAGAAATTCCTCATTCTTAAGAAATTCCTCATCGTCAATGAGACGTTCCTTGTCGTCCAAGATACACTCTTTATAAAGTTGATGCAAACGCTTGAAAGTATCGACGCTTGTGGTTAACGAGAAGGTGTATAGGAGGTCCTGCTCGCTGTCTTCGTACCAACAATTTGGATCAAGACCCAGCTCGATCATGGCAATGTTATTCTTTTTGCTTCCGTGTCGGATGATGATGTTACGCCCTGCTTCTTCTTGCTGACTCTTTCCTTCGTCTGCTTCGGTGATGAAGTCCAAAAATATGCGGACTATTTCAACATTTCCCTTGAAAGCAGCCAATTCTAATGGCCATCCAAGTAATGGATAGCCAAAATTGGGACTGTTGGGGTGAATTGTTAACGATGTATACTGCCTTAAGTTCGTTGAGATTGTAGGTTAATAGGTAGATAACTTACGTATCATCGCATCTATATGGGGGGGAAATTAGGTATGGTGATTGTCGGAAATGTGGAAGCAGCTCCTTCACCAATTTTACTTCGTTGGTAAAAGCTGCAGCCGCTAATAGAGCCTGCACGAAGTCCTCATCGTGATCCGTGATCTTGGTCGACATCTTGGTCGACATCTTGGTATCTCTTGATGGAGGTATCGTCCAGGTTACATAGCTTCCACCGTAATGATCATTTGTCTTCATACAAACTTTGGAGATCTCGAAAATGACCTCTTCTAGTTTCTCACCCCAAGTATCTTCACCGCGGAAAGCTAAAATGCGCTCTGCGACTTGGCGGATAATAAGGAGTGGCCGAGTTGGCGGCTCGGCCGTACACATTAACTTGTCTGTAAGATACCGAGACCAGAATGGGCGACAAATATAAGGGAACGGCAATAGCTGAGGATCGTGAAGGATTCCTGACTGAAACACCGCGTACATCGTTACGGTGTCCCATAATCGGCTAACAAGTCGTAACCGGAGAGCGCGTTCGACACTACTTGTACCAAACCAACGTTTACTAACACGTACTCGAACAGCTGCGATAAGTATCTTTTGGACCAATTCATTTGGGAGGGTAGAGAACGACATCGTCAGCTATATACATCGATCTAAGTGCTAAGGTTTCGAGGTTATTGGGAGGAGTTCTGGTATGAGGTGGCTTACCATTCCACTACTGAGGGGTTATGTTAGATAAATTGATCTATTGAACTAACTAATAATAATGAAACATTATTATTTTTTTTACAAACACTCAGGATGAATCCGAATGTCTGAATGACACGTGACGAGCAGTCACGTGTTGAGATGTACTAAGGTACATCTCACAGGTTATGAATTCATGTGGCTTGAAAAGGAGAAAATATACGTGTAGGAAGTACTGATGTGTATTGAAAGCTGAATTAAAATTTACAATACTGTCATGGTCACATGACATGTGGAAGTATAAATACATCCTGCAAACCGGCACCCCACACCTATACAATACAACAACTACCTTAGGTACTAATTAGCAACTATTAGACATCCATGACAAATGCTGTCTAAACCCTATCAAGAGTAGACTTGCGTGGTATCGCCCCTGCTCCTTTAACGCCAATATATTAACCCTTCCCTGTTGCTTTCTACAAGCTGGGATATTCATCATTCCCTTTCACAGCTTCAAAGCCCATGTTGACATGCTCTGCGGCCGTTATAGGAAGTACGCTCGGGGTCTCCATGATTTCCGTGATGAATTCATTCGATAACTCAACCGAGTCCGCTGAGACTTTACGAGAAGACGGAGGACCAATATGGTTTTGAGTTTCACCTCCAGTCCACGCCCTCGTCACATAGAAGTATTCATTAACCTTTTTTAGGAGTTCCCTAATCCACACATCTTGCTTTCTTTGCCGGCTCTGTGGCTCGGCTGCATTCTGATAGTAAGGGAGGCTTGGCTTAAAGATAGCCAACTGATAACGCCACTGATGACCATCTCGTTCGAACTTGCTTATGCAAAGCACCATTCCAGCCCTGAAGCATGTCTTCTCCCACACGATGGGAATAGCTTCGTCTCTCCTTGCTGCCGCCGACGCAACTTCTTCTACGTCAAAGAACCACGGGGTAAGGAGACCGATCACATGGTGCTTTGCTCCTTTTCCTGTCTTCTCAAATTCCACCTTGGCGTAGTCGAGAAACTCGTTCACTGTGGCGTAGAAGCGAGACTTATGTCCAGTAGGCTTGTACCACTCTTGGCGCTGCTGTTCGGACATGAATGCTATAGGAGCGAGAAACAGCACACCTTTAGACTCGGGCTTCGTTTCAGTCAAGGATAACCAGCAGAGGTACCTGCGGACATATAAGGGAAGACTCTGGTCGTGCGGATACAAAAGTGCGTCTTCCTTGTCCCCTTTATTCTCATGATCGATGCCGAAGAGTGCCTTCCGAGTTGTGGTCTCCCCCAGTATCGCAACATCGAGCTTGCTGAAGTAGTCGGGAGGCCACGTACGGATGGGTTTAAAACCTTTGGGGGCTGTTAGGCTAGGGACACGTCTTGTTTCAATGGTGCTATCGACAAGATCGATTGTTGTGATGAATCCATCAATGGCTGTTGTCAGGTTCGTAGTTTCTTCTGCAGAATGTTCGTCTGATAGATAACGGCGACGTGCACCGACGAACAAAGAGACTAGCTTCCCAAGCAGCGCAGGTGCGAAAGGAGTAGCCAAGGTTCCTGGGTTCCACTCGGATAGGAGAAGGTAATAGAAAGATTCGTCGCCTCGCACACGAATGTATACATCTTTATTCTTGATACAGACAAGGAAGAGCATTCTGATTGGATGTATGATTGCTTCGTGAACTTCGTCTGGGGTGGCATTGCTAAGCCCTGCAGTTATAAGAGGAGAGAGAATGTTGTCGGGATCCATGGACAACTGGCTGATTGAATCGAAAGTTAGGCCATCGATAAGTCGAAGGCCTTTTCGAAGGACCTTGTGATCCATTGTGACAACAGAAGACTGAGAATATCAACTACTTGACTCCGATATAGATAAGGCCTAATCCATAAAAGAAAGCCTTGCATATAATGCTGCCGACAATGATAACTGGGTGAATGTCGCGTCGTAGTTTGATTCTGGATAGAAATAGTAACCAAGTTGATAAAGCATGCCAAAACTCCGCTTGGATATGTTAAACGAGGACGGAGATCGCATTAGGTATGTTCCAAAACTGGAAATTATGGCGAATGATTCTAGGGCGACAGTAAAATCCTTCTTGTTAATGATAAGACGGAAAGGAAGAGGAAAAAGACGAATGATGCCTGAAATTATTTGTTGTTTAAATCGGCAACCGGATTCTACAGAAGGAGCGAACTTGCTTCCCTAAGGATGAATTTGTAAAATGTTAAGAGTACGATAAGTGTAGTGCAATCACCATGCGAACGAGGGGCGTTGCCTAGGTACCTACCTCGTAGGGTAGTGGGATATTTAAGACGGACTTGCATAGGAAAAATTGGAATACAGACAGAAGTACACCTGGCAAATACGCCATGTGATAGAGTCAAAAGTTACACTTCGGGGTGTTTAGAGACAGAGCCTTTATTTTTGAATAATAATGGTAGCACTGGATAAGAATTTGGGATCTGCCAACGCGACTTAGTATTTTTTACTTCCGTCAAAAATCTTGATCACAACTTTAGTTATATGTGTATTGGAGACTATGAACTGTGCGAGTAGGTAGTGAGAGAGCTTTTTGGGAAAAGGTTTAGAATTAATAGTAATAGGAAATGCTGAGAGGAAGAGGTGGTCTTCTTAAGTCATGCAAAAATTCCGTAAATATACACGGTTTATAATACTTGACTCGCCTATCAAATTAATAAACTGAGTCTGTCACTGGTCAAGGTGTGGTTCCTTTATGTGAACAATTATAAGTTATAAGTGCAGACAATAAGGAATGATTTGTAACTTTCTATAGTTGAATACCTAAATCGACTGGGCAGACTTGGATAGAATTAGGGGTAAAATTTAATAAGCTGAACTCAACTAACTAATAGTAACTATATTGATATTCTACATGGTAACGTTAATAAACAACAATCTTGCTATCTGAAATAATAGACATGCGTGTATAAATAATAAACTAAAATAAGGACCTGTGGTCGTACGTAGGTTAAGGTACCCGGGTACCTAAGTCATATGACTCAGGGGCTCTGCATAATAACTTTCTGAATCTTAACAAATCACCACCTACCGATCTATTACTAAGCTATAGGATATATCCCTAGGCGCAAGCATGCTACTGTGCATAACCTCATATTACTAATTATGCGTGGAAAAATGTTCTATATATACTAGGTAATAGGGGTTAGGGACTCCGTGCCAAGACCTCAAAGTCACTGACCATTTTGCCGTTTTTATTAACGCGAAAACGCGAAAAGGTCCCCTGGGCCGAGTTTGTGAAGTAAATGTAGTTGCCGCGGGTTCTAAGGCCGTTGATTTCGATCGGCGGCACACCCGATGAACTATCCCAACCGCTGGCACTGAGAGCAGCGCCCTCGAACATGATACTAACTTCTCTGGTGTGGGTGTTGATGGCAAATATGCGCCCGTCAATAGAATTGGCACTGAGGAAGATAAGAGGATTATGCGGACGCCGGAAGTGTGGCTAGACCGTTCATTGTGGCCGTATCTGGGACCGAAATGCTATCGGCTACTTTGTCTGATTAGAGTGACACTATGAACAGCTTCATACTACCCCTCTAGAAGGAGAAGGAGAAGGATGTATGCAAACCGCTGCTGACAGCATAATAGACCATTTTCTAGTGGAACAATACCTGTTAGGCCTGTAATGCCATCGTGGAAGCTGGCGACTGGTTTAGCCTGGGGCTCCGTGGTCGTTGGGTCAAGGATATAGAGAAGACCGGGTGACTTGAAAGTGCTTAGTAAAAGGTTTCCATTTGGGAGGACGTGTAAGTTCTCAATAAACTCGGTAGGTGTCAGGGTATAAGTGGGTAGGGGTAGCTAACAGGGGTCTATCTACTATATAAGAGGCGCACAGCGCCCTCGTAAGGGGATAGAAGGCCAGACGTTACAAGTTCAATACTATCTATTACTTGGTCTACCTACCCTAGACATTCACTCTGTGTATGACATCAATCAACGGGTATAAATCCTGACAGTAGGAAAGCGATATATTTGCTTTATATCTGGATCGGACATGATAGGGGAGTGCTATGGACAGCCTTGACAAGAGACGGACGGATAATGGTAAATAGATGATGTGGTCCCGGTGCGGGCTCCCAGCGATGAACGTAGGGAACAAAGGGCGGATCTGCGCTGGCATATAATAGGTACTTGTGAAAACTACACGGAGCAAGGGATTACAGCTAGAATCCAAGTATTTAGGTAGAACTTATGGAACAATTAGGACCTAATTTTTATATTTAGCAAGTTGTAACAACACCTATGTAGGGCTAAGAAGAATGTGCCGTATAAGAAATAGTTTTATGGAGGCACGATGCATGTAGCAAGCGAACCAGGTGACCTAGAGTGCCAGAGACAATTTCGAATGGTCCAGACAATACTAAAGGCAAGAAAGCGTGGGAGAAAATATATACAAGTCCATAAGTTGGTAGATTCGTGAACGTCGAAATCACCATGTGTAAAACTAGAGTTATGTACCCGTTGACCAGTTGTCTACCAATTTATCGTAGCGGCGCGGCGACCCACATATCCTCCGGATTCCGTCCGAACCCTTTTTCCGTTTATAGTGGGGCCGGTCGGCCGGTTTCTTTAGCCGTTAAGGCCCGGATTATCGGCTCGTACAGTTCTTAATAATACCTAGGTACACATGAAAATTTCGTTCATATTAATCTAGTATACTTCGTTCTACGCTGTCCGAAATGAAAAATAAGATTTGCTAGATTATCACCTATCTTCAGGGGTAAAAAGCAAATAAACCGTTGTCTATCATGAAGCTAACTAGGTAGAATGACCGTACTTGAGATTCACAACCTTCACTATCGTATCTGGATTCGTGATCGTAAGGATATTTTTAGGATCCAAACCTTCTTTGGGGCTCCTCATGTATTTGGCCCATGTCTGGACTTTGAACTCACTGTTCAACTTCGCCGGTGCGTTGATTTTAGCCAACCCAAGCAGGAAGGTCAGCTCGCTGACTTGCGTAGCATAGACCCAGCCTTTGGCCGAGCGCGGCAACAGCCGCAGACGTAGCTGATTAATATCCTTTTCTTTGTCCTGAACCACGGTGGGCAGCACGTTGAAGCGCATATTGGTCAGCATGTGTGCGCCGGGCCCCGTGTAAGTGTCCATGAGGTAGGAGGAGGATTTCCCGACATTGATCTGTATGTCTACCTCAACAAGTTGGTACTGACTCACTTCATCCTGGTTCACGATGACCGAGAAGATGAGATCTTGCGCAAGATTGTTACTATCGAGCTGGACCTCTTCCCAGTGCCCAATGATGTTGCTTGAGACGGTTATCTGAAATCTGGGCGATCCAGCTACGTCACGCACGATAGGCCGGCCACTAGATACAGCTTTAGACTCGACACTAGGGTTTTGCCTGATATGGGAAAGTATATCAGGCTCAGGAAGAGAAGCCGCGGAAGTGACGGGGAGCGCGCGGACGTGAGGGGCGAGGAAGCTAGAAAGCGCAGTGGGTGTGGCAGCGTAGCTCTGAGGACGCTTGAAAATGGCCCCATAGTCATCGTCGTCATCTTGTTTTTTCGAAGGCGTAGTTCCAGATCTATTATCTAAGGTAAGCTTCTTGACCCGTGCCGTGCCCATAAGCCTCAGTGTCCGGATTTCGGGGCTGCTTGAGCCCCCAGGTGGCCCTACTTGGGCTGTCGCCTCTGAGCTTTTATGGCTTTTGAGATCAATAGTCAGGTTATAGATGGGGTCGTTCAGTTGCATAGCAAACAGTGCCGATGTTGGCTCATTGTCACTGAAATAAGGCTTCTGTGTCCCGCCCTCATTGTAGGTGCCCATCTCATCCTGAAGCTTCCGAAGCTGCTTGGCAGCAAATTGCGGTGGCCAAATGACGCGCAAATCATTCAGCTTGGAACCGGATTTGGCGTCCCAGAGGAAGATATTGTCGGCGCTGTCGCGTTTGTATGTAATAGACTCACCGAGGGCGTCATGTCGCTTGTCGTCCTTTTCGCGAATGTTCTGATCGACTGTGTACTGCCGCCGTATGTCTACCTTGACCTGCTCTGGGCCAACATCGCGGGCGACAGCGAAGCGTTGTTGGTGCGCGGGCTGCGTGAAGACAAGACTAGAAAATTGGTCTGAGCCAGGTACACGGTCCATAAAGGCCATCATAACGCCGTCTGTGACAATTTCGTGGCGTAGAAGCGGTGCGCCAGAGGAGGCAGTTTCTCCTTCAGCGTCTAGAACCTCTACACGTAGGTCCGGGAACATAGTGACGAGGTCTGACCGTAGGTAGAAACCGTAGGCTGGGATCTGCATCGGCTGGTCCTGTCCTTCCGGCGTGTGCTTAATGTAGTTGTTGAAGATTTCTTTGATAGCCGTACGGTCTTCGTCATCGCCGTAATGGTTACCGAGTGAAAGAGCACCATCTATTAAGGCATCAACCCAATTATTATCGATGCGGAAGAACCGTAGGCGCTCAGGCTCAAGGTACGTTGGGTCAGGTATAAGACAGTGAGCAGGTACACCCGCGAGGAACATGCGATCAAGGAGCCATGAAAGAACAATCATCCAATCTGTTGACACTGGATCATTGGTCTCATCGTACGTGTCCCCTGATGTGCTCTTGGCGAGGTATCGTGCTGCTTTGACAGCTTCATTTGGGAAATGTTTACGAATCAAGGGTGAGCCAAAGGACATATCTGGTAGCTCGGAACGTGCGAGACGGGAACGTTTCCATCGTCGCTTAGCGCCGCCGGGAAGATACCGCGGCGCCCGAATGGGTTTCCCCGGATTTATATCATCGTTACCGCTGAGATGGATCGAGGCTAAACTGCGGATGGCCGAATCAATGCCGCCTAGTACATCGTTGCGGGTCCGGAAGGCCGTGTCATCAATACCCTTCACCGTCTTTAGTTTAGAGGCGGCCTCGGCCGTACTATGGATCGAAGTACGCAGCCGGTTAAGTGCAGCTATGTAGGCCTCATCGCCTAGGGCCATGGTGCGACCGACTTGCCAAGCAACCGAATACGTAATATCCATGATCCCAAGTTGCTTATCAAGGACTTGTAAGTCGACACCCGAGTTAGAGCTTGTCGTCAAATTTTCTAGGGGAGGGACAAATGAAGGCGTGAATGGTCCGCGGTAGAAGGCGACGGTGGATTCTCCCGTCTGAGTGCGATATCTTACGAGCGTGTATCCATCATCGAGCCGCTTCGCAACAAGCTGTTGAATTTTGTCGCTCGAAGCCCGTAGCGGCGAGATGATTTCCTCTGGAGCACGGAGGACGTTGAGTGTCCTGCCAAGATCTTCAAAGGCATCTGGTACGTTAAGCGTATTTGCCGGTAACACAGTGTAATTCCAGCTATGTAGCGAGCACAGCGCCACATAGCGGTGGCTCGATACGGGCCAAGACATCTCCTCGACACCTTCGATAGAAACGAGGTGTGCAGACATGGTTACTGGCGTCTCATTGTCAAGCGGGCCGGACCGGTTGCCAACGACAATACTAAAGACGGCCGTGTCTTCAACACCAGCGAGCGCCATACCCTGACCATTTATCTTGCGCACATGTGCCTGGTACTGGTATTGCTGCGCGTTGGGCTTGGAGCCTTTGGCAGGGTTGTTATTAGAGTCGCGCGTGGGAAAGAGATTCGTGAAGAGGTCTGGCTTGACAAAGATGAAGTCGCCTCGACTATTTTTCATGCTATCCGGCCCAAGATCTTTGGTCACAGGCGTCGTTACGTCTGTCACCTTCCATAGGTCATCAATACTCATGTTGACCGTCATGGTACCTGACTGTTTGACAGGTTTGGCGACGCCAGAACTTGTACTGCGGAAGATGCTAGTCGGCCCATCCAAATCCTGAGGCTGTAGCCGTAACTCATCTTGAGAAAATGAGAATATGACGAGCCAGGGCACGCGGTTGCGTATAGTCTCGCCACTAGCACCTTCTGCCAGTGCCCTCATCTTCATCTGAAGCTCCTTGTTCGTCCCCTGGCTCTTACTTCCGAGTCTTTCCCATGGCAGATGCGGGTCCGTTAGGACCACATGAGGAAGGATCCTGTTTGTGTCGGGATATCCTGGAGGAGGGTACGTCGAGTGCACGCTCCCTTCCGGCAGCGAGAACTGTGGCGCGTCTACAAAAAAGGACTTATCCGCACTAAGATTCAATTCCTCGCCTGTCGGTGCCTTTATATTCTGATTCACGGTGATATTATGTTTCGGGCCAGCCGCGAGCCCCGGCGCCCAATACGAGTTGAGCTTTTGCTCACCAGGTGCCAGAGGGTCAACATCCTCCTCACTCTCAACGGCGGCTATGCCAGCTAGCTGTCGGGCTTTGCGCTGATATACAGCGGCGACTTTCCGAGAGTGTCGAAGGGTTAGATGGCGAGGAGAGTTGATGCGAGTGCTTTTGCCTCCGGGAAATATGCCCATTGTGAATATCTTTAGTGAGGAGAGGATGCTAGGGACTAGGGCTTGGGTTCTAAGATGGATATCAAAATGTTTTGGGCCGAGTCCTATATGAGATATTCAAGTTCGCCCAAGTTACTCCTAATTAGACAATGGAACATAAGCACACTCTCTTGTTGTTAACAAGCCACTTGATACAGCCCGTAGATTAACACCTAAACATGGTTGGGAATGCTGAACGCCGCGACTTGCTTGGGACTTTCGATTTGGAACCCCCATAACAAGAAAATCCCTATTCATGAATAATACTCACTACTCAGTGCGGTACATGTTTAAACAGTTGTTTTCTCTAGTCGTAATTCGCCATCGGGTTAAGACCATGCCCAAAATTTTATATAGATACCCCAAGGAGTGAAACCAGAGCTGCATGAGATCGGAAAAGCAGCATATAATGCACATGCGTACGGATACTGGATGAGCACCCGAAGATCATATAGCTAACTAGGTTTTGATTTTTAACTACCTAGGTACCTACAGGTACTTACTGAAATGCAATGCCAGCCCTTATTGCATTGCCTAACAACCTTGTATTCGTCATAAGCAGAAACGTGATATTTATGATAGGATAATAAACAAGGAGGCAATAATGTCGTTAAGTAGATATTACCTAGGAAATACAGGTCCCTTGAGCCATTAGATAAACATTCCCATCTACGTTAACATCATTCTCAAGGCCCAGAAACCGAGGTGTCTAATAAGTATTTCGTTACGAAACGAAACCCATTAAACTGTCTTTGATTCTTTTTGCTCCTTTTTAAATCAAGATTGATAGTATATTTCAAAATACCGAAGCCTTTTTAGTACTATTCGCCGGACATCGAGATCGTTATGGCGGCCTTGGCGGCGATTGTCGACAAGAGCGCTGTAGATGATAAGAACATTAGCCTTTTCTACAACACCAGTAAGGCACAGCTAGCCATCTCGTTGCAGTATGGTGTCGCTAGCAACAACCAGGCTGAAGACACTTGGGTAACGGCCGACGATCATTATAACAGATACATCCTGAATCCGTCCTCCATTGCGGCAGCCTACTACCGCGGACTTAAATTTGTGGTAGCCATGACGATACCAAAGCAGTGGCAGGGCGAGGCAGAGGCGGATGTCCAAATATCTCTTGTATCGCCTATCTGCCAAGATCTCACACCAGGAACGTTCGAGAACAATCATATTGCCTTAAGCACGACCACAGATGGGAACCAAGGTTGGCTATACTATCTCAAGTAAGCCGTGCCTCACCCTATCTATTACCTAATCTTTACCTCGACGTCCGTTTTGCTCGCGCAATGATTTAACCACCTTTATAGTGATGGTTCCGATACTAGAAAAAAAGTGGTGGAGCTAGACCTCAACAGCAAAGCTACGCAGGTCCTGAGTAGTATAGTCCAGGTAGATTATAACAGCTCTCTAGCTGCTTGGTATGACCAAGTCAATAAGGAACGGCATATTATCTACGAAGGTGGGGGCCTCCGCGACTTCAATATAGATAAAACTACTCGTAAGCAGCCAGTTCGTTCTTTTACCGGGTCCTGGACGACCACAGAATACGCCTCCCAATTTTCTCCTTCGATTTATATACAAGAAGGATCTGTAGCTAATAATGCCTAACAGTTACTACCGTACATGCGGGCGACATGATCCCCAACACGTCTATTGCGGTGACCTACTCTAGGTCAACCAAAAAGGTATACCTCTATTACTGTAACGTAACCCAGAATATCATGCGAGCCGTTATGAGTGGAGATGATTGGAAAGATTCTCATAAGATCCAAGGCGCCCCCATGGTTGCTGAGAACAGTCAGATCACCGTTGCTCAGGCAAATGGGTTTAATCACGTATTCTACATTCCTAAGAACCTGGGCACGGAAGGAGACGAGGATCAGAGCCCCTTTGCCCACCTCCTTGATAAGATTGATTAAGCAGCTTTTGGAATGAACAAGAATTATCATGAGACCGCAATGTTTTAAGTGGAAAGGGCTTTAAAGTTATGTTACATTAGGAAGTCAGTTCTATCTTATAAATTATGGTGATGGAGTATTCTATTATGTACAAATGTAACTCGGATTTGAAGCAATTTAAAACTGCGTTAATATTTGATATGGCTAAAAGGTACTGGTTACATATTAGGCTACGAGTTGTGATGCTATCACGGGGCCATGGCCTCGTCTCGTGTAAGAAAGGAGAAAAAAGGGGCTACCCCTTTACGCGCATACACTTATTAGACACTTATACTAATATACCCGTTAAGTCTTATGCTTGTATGCTCATGCACAGTATCGACGATATAGGAGGTCTAGATTCTATCAAATATATTATATCTTACTTCTTTAGCAATGCATGAGCTACACAGCATATTACGGCATAACTCCTGCTCTAGACACTCGCAATTTCACCCGGCATTCGGCATCACGTCGTCACATAACACAGCAGGCCGGTGAGACGCTGACACTGCAAGTGTCAGCTGGCTTGAGACAACTGGTCTTACCTGTTTCTATCGCAACGTTCCCATCTTTACGCAAATATAAGTAAGCGATGTGTCAAAATATACAAAAGCAATATGAGAAATACTACTCCACGATGCGGGGTTCAGCTTCCACCGGACCGTCGGATGCGGCTTATGTCAGTTCGTGAAGATGATGCCGCGGAAATGCGAGTTTCGCGGAGTAAAGAAAATGCTATGCAGTGTAAAAAAAGATGTCCCGTATCAATCACCACGCATGAGGAAACGCGGAGAAAGATGGACTCTAGGTATCATGAAATATCTTGGCTGAGAGAATTACCTAACTGCTATCGTAAAGTAGGTAGCTAAGGGTGTCCGAATCAACAAGTATACATGGGCTTCTGCTATAGACACAATTTATTGCAACCAAATTGACAAAATCGTCGAAGTATTGAAATCATGGCAGCAAAGGACGTTAATCTTCATGCGGCCTTTGGCGAGGATAACTTCTTTCGCAACGCATTCAACTATGATTTGACACAGGGAAGTGTTATTGGCTATCTGTACTGGCCTGATATTAAAAAGCCGAATTCAACTTGGCCTTTTAAACTATCTATGGATCTAGTATAACTAATATAAGCGAAGCTAACATTCCAACAGATCAAAAAATGGCTGGATGATTGTGTTAAGGGTGAGAAAGGAGGCCCCCAGACCGAGAAGGAAGAGGTCCGAAAGCAACTCTCGAGAATAAAGGGGGCACTGTATTTTCTTATGTGCGTATGAACTGTGTGCTCGTTTGAGGTAGGTAGACTAGCTAATTATAAGAAAATATAGTCTCCCCGAAGGTCTCCACTTTGATGACCCAAATGCCAAACCAAATAGTCACTTCCGACGCAAAGTAAGGACGGACTGGCGAACGGTTGTGGATAAGGATAAAGATCCAGTCAAGTTTAAGCTCTTATCTTGGCCGATCGAACATCAAGGGGCCCTGAAGGAATCTCTCGAGTCTAGTTGGGCGAATGCCTATGACCTCCTTGGCCTTTTCATTAGTATTCTAGGCCCTGCTCCAACAACGGCCGATAAGAATAACTATTTCTTGCCACTGGCCGCAGTTTACGGGCGGTGGTGCTCACGCATCGCGGGTCACGCATGTTGGAAGTGGAATTGGAAAACCCCTGGGAACGGAGCGGGAGATTGGCCCTATATGTTCCAGGTTACGTGGAAACTGATGAAGGCCCCAGTCGACAAGAAACCCCCAGCTGGTAAAAAGCCTCCGGCCGATTATAAAGTTTTCTTCCTTGGGAGTAGCATAGCCGGTGATGACTGGATAGAGAATGACAAAGATGATAAGGATAAATATACCGGGAAATGGAGGAGGGCAGTACAACACAGCCGATTTAACTGGCTCTATAGCGGCTTACGGCTTAAAAAGTTTACGCTGAAAGATTTCGACAGCTCACCGGTGCAAAAGAACCCAAAAACTACTTCAAATCAACCGTACGGCAACTGTGCAGAGACATATCCATTCATCTTCAGCGTCCGCGGGTATAAACTCTTTTTCCTACCCCCTTCCCCTTCTCTCTCCCCTCTCCCCAGCTACCTTCCCCTCGTCCCCAATAGCTAATGTTTTTCCAGCTCCGGCAATGAAGATTTGATGGGCCTTGCTCTTCGGAGAGATTATATGATGGATCAAAATTTGACGGCCTACAACCACGACAAGGTATCAGCTAACCTCTGTGGTCCTTGTGCAAACTGCAAAAAACTTATTCGGGATGCGGGGGCCAAGACAGCAAACTTCTCGGTGTACAAAGAGGCAAGCTCGGCTCCGGGGAGGCCAAAAGCAACCACTGCAGCGAAAACAAAGACGGCAACAGACAATATGTCTGCGGTCAATGATCCGCCACCAGAGGGATGGAGTAACTCTGACGACGATTTGAACATCGAGTATTACTGGGGCCCTGATGGGGATGGCACGATGGCCGCCCAACAAGTCGGCTTAACTGGCGCCAAGGGGTTTATGATTGTCTCCCGTGACAATGGCCGCGACGCATACATGTTCACCGCTTCTACCGGAAAGGTTTATCTGTGGAATATGGTCACAAATGAGATCTACGAGTACACCAAACCCACAGACCGGACCGCCATTCTGGCTCAAATGAAGATGCCACCGGGGAAAGGAGAGCTGGAAAGGAAGTTGCTCTTTGGAGGCGACTTGTAGATGATGATGATGATGAGAACGTTAACGTCTATTGGTTGCTATAGGCTAGGTAGCTACAGCGGCGCATCTATGGCGCTTTAGACGTCTAAAATACCTCCTTTAAAAGAAACAGAGCTAGAGTTTCGCCTGACATAAGAGATCTTCCATTTCCTATCTCTAGCCTTTACCTGCTAATAGCATTATTTTACCTGGTTAGCGCTGGCCCCAGATAGCCGATTTTGATTAGGGGAAAAACTGTCGAATATGCCTTCTTATAACGGAGATGGAATTACCCTTAGCGCCTAGCGTGCCCAAGGAAAAACCTAAGTCGGATCAGTTTGGTTTGACTATAGTGGGATTTGAACTTATTTATGTTGCGGCATGTGGGCACGGACCATACGATGCGCGAGGAACCACTACGCCATGTGGGAGGGCGACTTGTAGAGATGGTATATACCTCCTAGGTTAGGTATCCAGCTCTGAGATAACGCGCGCGCAATATACGAGGAAGGAGATTGATACTATCTTTTTTTGAGTTATTATATTTTTGGATTGGATGCAGCTATCAAACTACCATCATGTTCAGATATTACTTTCGTTCTTAGTTTTATTCAACTATCTTATCTTATTTTATTGGTATTGCTATAAGTGATTGTTGAGTTAAGCACCTAAACTAGGGTACTAATATAAAACAAGTCACTGAATAAAGCAAGATTTGATGTGCTGTTCACATCTTATACTAGAGACCGTAATGAACGTGTTGTACCAAGTATCCATTGATAGGAGAACCTCAATAACGCTGAGCTTTATCAAATTAGAAACTTTAGATTACCTTCCCGTGTGTTCTACTCTTTGGGCATCATGATAGGATTCCTCAACTGCAAGAATCCCTCGACGGCAGTATACGGGCCGTCCTGGAACCCGGGCTTCGTTAAATCGCCCCTCCTCTCAATGCCAAAGGGGTTGAATGCAGGTTCACCATGCCCCTTTTCATTGACAGAATATGGCTCGAACCAGCTCCAGTCCCCAACGCCAAGCGACGGCAATGGTAGATCACGCTTGGGAATGTCTCTTGCATTCTGTGTTGTAAGCACTTGCGAGGGATCATAGGGCGGTACATCGCCGAGAGGTAATGTCAGAGGCCCCGCATGGAAGAATGCAGTCATAGTGTTCATAGCCTTCTGCCATGTCCATGATGGCAGTAGTAGTTCTGACGCTGGTAGGAAGGATGAGTACGCGTGTACAGGTGTAAATGGGTCGATTATAGCGCCGAAGACTGACATCCGCGCGTTGCGACGATTGTCGAAGTCAGCTGGTTCAACAGGGTTACTGTAGGAAGGCTCGGTTGGGAAGGGGGGCTCCCAGAAGGGTGTTAAGAGTGGATATTCGTCAGTATTGAGAGGCTTTAGTGGCACAACTTTCTCGTCATCTGGGGCAAAGAAAGTTCTGATATAGTCAAGATTGAGCTCGTCGGTACCAGGGGCTGTGGTATCGAAATATCCCACTAGCCCGTCATAGGCAGCATCACGGTCTCCTAGTCGCACTTGGAACTGATAGTAATCTTTCTGGCTTTCGGTATCAGTTAGCTTCGTTAAGGCACGCTCTGGGTCTGTAATCTTGCTCCTGGTACTCTGATTTTTGAATGGAGGTGAGTCTAGTTCGAGAGACCAGCCCGTATTGACGAGGGCCAGCGGCTTGCCTACAATGGAGTTGAGAAACTGAGCATAGTCGTTGGGTGCGGCCGACAGCGTCTCTTGTGCCCTCGTAATCATGGTCCAGAAGCCATGCAGATAATCACGATCGACGAGTTTGTTGACGAGGGCATCGAGCTGGCGTGTCTCGGGAGTCGACTGGGCATCCTTATTGGGACTAAAGGGTAACCACTTCGGCGCGTCTAACGTCCCAAGAGGTCCACCGAAGCGAACCTCACGGTAAAAGGTCCCGTCTGCTAGGAACAATTGGATACCGTAGTCGGCATAATTTGTAATAACCCAGCCCCAGATGGGATTCTCCCATTCAGATGCCGGGCGCCAGGCAGCCGATCCAGGGGAGTCCCTAGAAGGTGTCTTGAGGGCCCCGAAAACCTTTTTTTCATTGTCTGGATCGTCGGCAATACGCTTGACAAAGCTGGCGTTAAGACGTGCGTTCTGATTAATTTGTGGTGGAAGCTGAAGAAACTCGCATTGGGCAGCGCTATCCTTGATTACTGTGTTGGCGTAGTCCTTACCATCGAGCTTGATGGTTTGCGGCTCATAGAAGTCACTGATACAAGGATACAAGGGTGGAGGGCCATTGACTTGCGGGTTTTGATCGATAGGAACTAAGGCTTGGCCAAATTTGTCGATGATGTTGAGCTTGCGGAATCTATAGAAAGTAAGTAAACGGAGCGTAAATAATGAAAATTAAAGAGGCTAATGACGTACCTAAACTGCCCGTGTGTCACAGGTTTAAAGGGGCACCATGCACTGTCGAGGAAGTTCGCTAAAGCTATGTACGGTGTTGAGGCCGACTCTCCCTGGATCAGTTCAATGTGTTCTTTACTTAAACCTGCCTTATTGTTAACTGCCGCTGCAATAGCTGAGCTGGACTCAATCCCTGAGTCAATAGTCTTGTTTTCAGGTTTGATGTGGCTACCATCTGCCAGCGTCACTATGCCATTAGTAAATCCAGAGAGCGGCATCGACAAGTACGACAGTTTTGACACATTCTCTCGTAAGTTGACACGCTCCTCCTTCGATAAATACTTGTCCAGAATATCTGGCGGTGTGTTGTCAAAGAGTTGTGCTATCTTAGCGCCAAGCGAGAAGCTTGGCTGCGGTAAGATGAGTACCCGACCAGATAGCACACGCGTGTCCGGACCATTGCCCTTCTGCTCATCAAGCAGCGCCTGCCATAGTGGCGGTGGCTCCTGGCCGTCTGTGGAGGGAACGGTGATGCCGTAGCGTACCATTTCATTGACTGAAAGGCGGGCAGTATGTTCGTCAAGCTTCCAGTAGTTGAAAGGCACGTGCGTGTACTCAGTTTCCCACTCCACGTAAAGGGGGAACCATGGCTGCCGGTTCCCCCATTGGTCGCGTAAACTCCCATCCGAAACGGCGGTATTAGGATCGTGAAACTGAGGGTAAGATGTACCCTCAGGTAGCTCGCTAGAATCACTATCATCTTGTTGGATGATGTAGAACTCAGTTACTAAAGCACTAGCAGGTACCCTGAGGATGTCAGGGAGCTGCCTTTTTAGAAGATCAGACAGGTCCTTCAAGGGAGCTGGTAGATTGGAAGTGTCGCTGGCGGGAATGATCTGAGTGGGCGCGCGGACAGCTACCTTATCTAGGTAATCAATAGGCCAACCAGATGGGATGCCGCCAATGAGGACCGTCGGGTCATTTGCACGGTAGAAGACAGGCTTGCTTGCCGCTTTAGCTGTCGCTAGGAGGTTCTGTGAACTATCCTGTGGATTTAGTAAATCATCAATATTTGTTTGCAACTGTTCTATGCGGCCTTGCAGGCTTCCTATATGCTCTGCTAGGGCATTCACTTTATTTTTGTATTCCTCAGTCTCGGATTCGTTACTGCTACCCTCGCCGTTGCCCACGTCGCTCATAAACCCCCACCACAACGAGAACATGTCCCAGCGGTATTGCTTCATAACGGTGTTGCAGCTGTCTAATAAACTTTGTGTTTGATTTAATTCAGACAGCTTCAGAACTGCCGGTCTCTTAGGCTCTACCGGCTGTTTACTAGTTTCATCCTCGCCCGAGAAGTGAAAGTGTGACCCTCCAGGTGAGCGATTGAAGGACCAATTGTAGATGGTATTCTTAGCCTCACGTTGCGCTTCGACACCATCGTCGCGTGAAAGCAGTAATGACTCGAGTGCAAGAATGTCCTCTTCTAACTGGTCAATATCGCCTTCACCCTTGCGAGCATGGCAGTAAGATATTAGCGCATCCATGGGAGTAGTTCCAACTGACACAGCTGCCTGCGTCGGGTCGCTGATGCGGGCATTGTATTCATCTGCCGGCGTCGTAGTAGGCTTCTTATCCTGATCCCAAATTACGTCGTACATGGCGCCGTGGCATAATGTGCGCAGCTGACTCGTGTCGTCCAGCCAGTCGCTCCAGTCATTCGGATTCTTGTCGGCACCCTTCATTTTCATGAAGAGGGATTCTAAACTTGCCCCATGTGCAGTAGATTTGGTAGAGTTCCAGAGCGGGTCGGCATCGTCCTTCCAATGCCAACCCAGGAGATAGTAGCTAGCCTTAGCGTGGGTTAAGTATTGAGGCTTGCCACTTTTGTCAGCGTACTCAAAATTGTCAAGAATACTGAAGACGTTCGAGTTGTGCATCTGAAAATCGGCAAAGAGTTGGTTGCCGCTGCGTAGAAGACTGATATTGGGTGGCTGGACATCCGAATTGGGGTCGTCAGGAGTCCATTCAGCTAGTGGTGTCTTGCGTCCGATAAAAATCTCAGCCTGCTCCTCGATATTGACGTCTGGGCCCGATTTACCAGTGACAAAAGGTGCCAGATCTATCTGCAAGTCGACATTGAGCGGGATATCGTCAAGTGACCAGAGATGGTCACTTTCCACTACCCATGCCTCATATTCATGACCTGCAAACGCCGATTTGGCTGTTTCTGGCTGAATACTGTCGATGTCAATCCTACGAACCACAACCCAACGCGTAGGTGGTTGAACAAAATCAGGCGTAATAAGAGCAGGTTGTTCGGTCCCTAAGGGCGTCGCTTTTAATCCACGCCGAAGTCGTTCTTGTCTACGCGAGACCTCAGGCACCGTCTCGCTGGATGCCACTCCTGACCGGTAGAAGCGTGGTAGCGTCCAGTGGACATAAACACCGTAGCGATGACGCAATGGCTGGGGAGTAGGACGCGCGCCCAGGTCCGTCATACGCGAATTGACTTCAGCCGGGGCCGTGTTGTGTAAGTCGGCGTGATTTTGGATATCGCTTTGGATCAGGAAGTTTTCGAGGCGTAAAAAGGTATAGTTAGGCTGTGTTATGGGACAGATATGGGCACTCGTATCGCCTTCATCTCCAGTACCACATACAGCTTTATTGAGAACAAAGGCATCCAGCTGCATGGGCACGAGGAGTGCATCGAAGTCCTGGGTAGTCGACATTGTCGCTAAGCTTGTGATGGACTTGTGATGAGCTTGAGATTCGCAGATCAAACCAGCTCTAGCAGTATAAAACGACTGGAAACAATGGGCAAGAATGATAAGTTTACAATAGAAGCCGTTTAGCCCTACCGAATATTTGTCCTAGTAACCTAAGAATATAGCCTTTAGGTACTCCAAAGTCATCGTAGTCTCTCCCCTAGGCTAGCAACTAAACACACATTGTGCTACGAATGCATGAGGTTCACATGAACGTCATTACGTGAGCTAGGTGGTATCTTACAGGCAACATTGGCGAAGAGTGTCTGGTTGCTAGCTGAGTATCTCTAGGTAACTAGGATGCCGGTATATCACGGTCATCCTCGGAGAAGAATGCTTCGTATAGTTCTCGGCGATGGCGTGCATAGACAGTCTGGCCATTTTAGATCTAACGTATCGATTCTCACGTCTGCCGTACGGTAGCGTACCCGTCTGGTAAGATTCTCTGATCGCAAGTTGCGGTGAATCTGCAGAAAGTTATCTAGCCGGATGCGATGCACTCTCCCGCCAAGTCAATAAAAACTTGGAGCAGATACTCTTAGTCGTCATTCGTTCGTAAAATTGGCGAAGTTAATAAGAAAGTAAAAAGCGATGGTGGGATGACTTGCGAGATGAGAGGCTATGAAAGGTCGTTTGCATATTGCATTAGGCGAGCTCCCCGATATGTATGATGCCTACCTAGGCAGGTAGGTATAGATTGATTGACGTTGATTGACGTTGGCAGGTTGGAGAACGTTGGAGAGAATATTGATTGTTTCAGTCCCGTTTGCTATGTGGTAGAGATACCTAATGGAAAAAAAAGGGAAAGAACTACACATCTGATTGGCTGTCGGGTAGGTAAGGTTTTGTCGCATATATTAAGTAATGACATTTATGACATTACAAGATACCTTTTGGTCATGTGGTCAATCTGACAGGTTTCAATAGTCTAGAACCCCACATTGACATACATTAGCACATATGGGTGTGTAAGATACCTCCTGATGTAAGACATGGAATATGCACATATACACCATTACAACGAACTACATGCAGTTCTAGATTCACACCTGTCCAACACGCCTTAGACGGATGTTCTCAGCGACCTACGCAATGGAAACCGGCGTGGAGATTTATGACAGGTTTTGGTCACAAGGAAAACGAGGTAGAGTTTTGACTTCCCATCCCTTGGCCGAGTTGTCTCCATCCGGGGTTTGGCCTTGGTGTGTGTTTCGATGCATTGTTTGTAATATTGTTCTCGCGGGGCTTCATACGCGGCAAGACTTCTATCGATTTTGCCTAAGACTAAAGTTCTACTCACTGACTTCCAAGAGGGGAACACGGGTAGCTACGTAGCAACACTGAAAAGGAGACTGGCGCGAATTATGCACACTAACTAAGGTAGCTGGTCCAGCACCTTAAACTCATCGTGGGAGTAACGCCTACAATGTCTGCCGGCAACATTCCAGACGAGCCTTCATCTCAGGCCGTACAGAGTAATGAGCTCTACTACATCTATGCCAGCTCGGCAGAACACGATCCAGGCGAAAACATCAACGTACTCGACGAAGATAGCCCTATAGATACATTTGTGGCTAACCTTAACGACAACAAAGTCATTATTCTAGCTAGCAAGCCGAGTCTGTCAGCCAGCCTTGACGATAGTGATGAGACGAATAAATGGTTTCGGGAACTCGATTCTACAGCTACCAGCTCGGTCACACTCGGTTCTAATTTGAAAGATATCGAGAGTTTCGAATTACAGTTCACACAGCCATGGCCGCTTGTATTCAGCTCGGCGAGCGATGTGCTCCTATTCACATTTGGCCCGTCATTGGATGGATCAGGCGTCCCTAGAATTCCCTCACCCGGAGTCGACGGAGAAGGGAACACGCTGACGCTCGGTCTCGACTTTAGTAAATTAGCCGCAACTCCTACCAGCAAGCTCAGCAGCCTATTTTCATACGCTGGGAGTGAGGGCATGGTTGATTACGTACCAAGCGAGCTACTGGAACTGACTGCAACGCTTACGACTCCTGGACAAGGGGATCCAAAGCGCAATGCCCTCTGGTATTCACCTGCCTCGTACCAGAGCGTCGTGATGCGCCTACAGTTTGAGGTGCCTGATTTCAAACCATTACAAGGCGTTCTGGGGGGAGTTCTTAGAGGACTCACCATTGGCAACGCTGATATCATTTTCTACAAGGACATGCTCCTGGCGGCAACCGAAACGGGACCAGAGCCTATTTTTAGGGGGTCTCTCGCCTTTAGTATTGTATGCTCTCTTCAAGGCAGTGGTTCTAAAGACCCGGAGGTTTCTACAACTGCAAGCATCGAAATTAGCGAATATAACATGTTTCTCACATTCCAATTCGAGTCTAACGACCCCTTGGTGGGGATACTTAAGTGGCTTGAATCCCTGATTGACGATTCATTAAACTGGATTATCGATGGCATTCTGAACAGGAAGGAAAATAATGTCAATGTCCTTTCCAACTTCAACCTGCGCAGAATGACGCTCAGTCTGGACACGAAAGATCCAGATAACCGGAAGCTGTCGTCTTTTTCTTTTGATATCGAGGTCTCGGCCAACTTCGGCATAAGTGAATCCGGCTCAAGGCCAGTATTTCTCATTTCGTATAATTGGAACAACATTACCGGCGGATTCGGTCAACTAGCCGGCAAGCTGTGGAACGGTAAGTAGACCGATGTATCACGCGACAAATGAGCGGATAGCTAACTGGAAATTAAAAGATTTCGACTTGTCCATAGACACAGATCTGTTACCACATGTAGAGAAATGGTTTAATCTACAGCCATTGACGTCGTCTCCAGCGGATTCAATTGACATTGCATCTCTAATTCCCGGCCAGACAGTAGAGAACATCCCAGACACCCTACCTTCGAAGATATCACTCGCTTATATCGCGCTGACGCAAAATTCCTTTAATATCCAGTGCTCTGTCACAAGTAACCCTGCCCCTGCAGATTCGACACCTCAGCCGCGCCTAGGCGAGGTCACGCTTGAAGGCTCGTTTACCTGGGGGAAAAGCAGCTCCTTTACCCTCAGCATTTTCGTCAGTGCTACCATCGAACCAAGCCAAGACGCATCAGAAGACTCTTTGCCTGCAGTCATTGAGGGGTCTTTAAGTTACGACTCAGCTACTAAAGGATGGGATCTTAAGGCGTCGCTAACAGGGCTATACGCCTCGGCTCTGGTCGAATTCTTCGATGAAGATTCTAAAGCTCACGTTGGGCCTCTGATAAATTCAATTGCCATCGACACGCTAGCTGTTGAGTACAAATACACCAAAACAACCGGTGGAAAGTCGACCGGAAGCGAATTTACTGTTGAAGGAGACCTCCTAATTGCTGACCTAAGCCTTGGGCTTAACTTTACATATAAAGACCATGACTTCACCTTCTCGGCTACGCTTAACCCAGGAGATAAATCTGCGAAAATTGGAGACGTGCTAGCAGCCATCTTAGGGCCCGACATCGATCTTCCTGATTTCGTCTACAATACGCAGCTTGTGGGCGATAATCAGGATGCCTTCAGGATTGATATGGTTAAGAATAAAACCCCAGCTGCTGAGAATGTGTCCGGGGTCGATCAGGAGTCATTCTTCTTCCTTTCGCAGCTCAATGTCGCAAATGTGCACATTGACTTTGTTCAAATGCATAATACGACCTGGGGCCCTAAGACACCATCTAAGCGGCTATTCAAGGTTTATATTAACGGCTTCACCAAGGTAGAGCTCGAATTACCTCTCATCGGCACGTTGACGCAGCCTCTCGATGAGTTGTACTTCCTCTGGGTACAGGACAAGCCGCAACAAGGCACGGCGCCTGGCAAGGGAACGGGTCTGGCACGTTTAGATTGGGACGAGCTCAACCACAGCCTGCAGGCCACTGGGCAGGATCTGATTCTTGTCAACGATAAGATCAAGCCGGAGAAACGAACGCAAGCAGATCTTTTGCTAGCGTCCGGATGCCACTTTGGTGTTATTATACGTAGTAGCACGGGCGTACGAACATGCCTGCTCGACTACGAATTTATGAAACCATCGTCATCCAGCAGAATGGCGCTCAAGGCAGGCGAAGGCGAGGTCGATGACGGCTCTCCAAGCGCTCAGGCACCGTACAAAAAGATTGCTGGCCCGTTATCAATCAGCAACGTCGGCCTGAAGTATAAGGACAAGATGCTGGCCATCATGTTTGATGCCACTTTCCAGCTCGGTCCGCTGGGCTTCTCCCTAGTCGGCTTCTCCCTCGGCTTCGCTTTTACAACGCTTAGTGGAACCCCTCAAATCACACCCGTCATTATGGGGTTGGCAGCATCGTTTGAACAGTCACCCCTGTCGATCGCCGGTGTCATTCGACATGGCAACGAAGGAGGCCTCGACTACTACGCCGGAGGTCTTACCGTCGGCTGGAAACTGTACCAATTTGAGGCTGCTGGCTTCTACGGCATAGTAACGCCAAAGGGCACTTCCAATGGCTTTAAGACCGTCTTCGTTTTCGCCAAGCTGAATGGCCCACTTGTGACGCTCGAGTTTGCCGAAATTAATTCCATCTGTGGTGGTTTCGGCTACAACAGCAGCGTTCGCCTGCCGACAATTGATGAGGTTTATGACTTCCCCTTTATTGCTAATTCGCAGCTTAGCGGCAGCGAAAATGCTATGGCAGCCCTAGAGAAGCTTGTCGACCCAGGCGCAGGCGGCTGGTTCAAGCCACTAGACAAGACGTACTGGTTGGCTGTTGGCATGGGTGTCGGCGCTTTCCAGATGCTAGCTATTGATGCCGTCGTAGTCGTACAGTTCGGAAATTCTGTAAAGCTTGGTATATTTGCCGTAGCCAAGGCTGATGTCCCCACACCTGCTTCATCCTTCAAGATAGCCCACGTCGAGCTAGGTATATCAGCCATAGCTGACTTCGACTACGGTACCCTCAAGATTGACGCCCAGCTGTCCCCACGCTCCTATATACTAGATCCTAACTGCCACCTCACTGGTGGCTTTGGTCTATATTATTGGTTCGACGCTCCGCACGCTGACCAGTCGATCGTTGGCCAGTATGTCTTCACCCTCGGCGGTTACCATCAAGCTTTCAACTTGCCTGTTGGCTTCCCAAATCCGCCACGTCTGGGAATCAGCTGGAATCTCGGCGGTGGCCTCACTATATCGGGTCAGGCTTACTTTGCTATTACACCTAAGGCATGTATGGCTGGAGGTCGTCTGCACGCTGCCTTGTCTGCTGGGCCACTGTCGGCCTGGTTCGATGCTTTCGCCGACTTCCTCATTAACTATAAGCCCTTCTACTTTAATATGCATGCCGGCGTCTCCGTCGGAGTCGGATTTAGCATCGATATTTGGTTTATCCACATCCGCATCTCGGTCGAGATTGGCGCCCAGCTGTACCTCTGGGGCCCACCAATCGCTGGTCGTGTCCACGTCGACTTCTGGATCGTCGGGTTCGACATCAACTTTGGCAACAACCAAAGCCAAAACGAGGCTGTCAGCCTCCACGACTTCTATCTTCTGGTACTGCAGACAGGTACAAGCCCGGCGCGATCCGCGGCTACTAGTGGCAAACTCGCTATAGGAGCTGGAGACGATGTGAAGGTCCAAGAAGAAAAAGAGAACGAGGGCCACAACTTCTTGGCCCAATCTGGGCTCTTGAACCCAGAGGACAATCCCGAGCGCGACCAGACGACACCGTGGGTTGTACGCGCCGGCTCCTTTTCCTTCGTTGTAGAATGCAAAATGCCAGTCAATGCCGTCAAGAACGATCCCAACGGGAGTGCTATCCTTACGCACGACGATATCTATGGTAAGCCGATGAAGCTCACGCAAACCCTAACATCGACTATTACGGTGGTAGTTAAACAGGAAGGAGAGAATGAACCAGATGATGGATGGCAGTACGATAAGTACCTCAACCGCCTACCATATGGTCTGTGGGCTAAGTGTAAGTCGCGATCACCTATGCACGAACTAATAACCGTTATGCAAAGTTAACACATGGCAGACTGCTCATCCACCGATCCCCGCACCAGCGGTAACAACATTCGTGACCTCCTTAATAACGACAAAGGGGCTGTCACCCTTATGTCCGGAGTCTTAATCACCGCTCCCAAGCCCACCATGGCCCCCGACCCTTTCCCTGCTTACCAAGTCGCCGATGCAGATCTACAGCGTCTCTCCTCAGAGAACCCATTCCCCACTATCATTGACGCCGACGAAGCCTGGGCACCCGATAAACCGTCCACTGATCAAGTGGAAGACCAGTACATAGCAGTGTACAAAGCATGGTCCAACCCAGCGCTCGGCTCAGGTGACGACGGGCAAAAGGGATTCGTAGGGGCCTTAGCGGATAGTTTGAAGTGGAACATTACGGACGAGATGAAGAGTATTGCGGGAATTCCGGAGAGATTGAAAAAAGGATTTATGAACTTGTATGTAGCGGCGCCATTGTTGACTAAGTGAAGTGAGACTGCTATAGCCTATAGGGAATTATGACCTTTCATTTACATTTAACTATAGGCTTTCGGAGGTATGTATTCTATTGAATAACCACAGTCTCTTGATGCTATATCACGAGTAACTTTCAGCTTAGCCACATCGTATGGAGAATAAAATCATCGTATCGACTCGATTGATATTGATTATCCGCGTGCTCAGCTACCTGTATAATCCACTAGAGCTAACTAATAGCGGCAAGGCGTGGACGGGTTTGGAACTCGCCTAGCAACCCTGACAGCTCAGCTGGACCGCCTTGTCCGGATTTGCTCACTTGAAAAAATGAAGCCAATTAAAGGGTGATCCGATCTTCCGCTATCGTTTTTTTTTTTCAATAATAGCACTGCTCTTCGCCACCTCACCTCAGCAGCCATGTGGCACTCTCGTGTAACAAAATACCATAGGGAATAATAATACCAGCACCGTTACGAGATTTCTCGTATTTGGATACGCTTTTCTTTCATTCGGAGGTTCCCTTCTAAGGCGCAGTCAGCGAACACGGGCTCGCGTATAGATACCAATCGCAGAGAATCCAAAGAGGCCGTAATGAGATCATGAGCTGATAGATTGGATTATCGTCATCATTTTCGTAGGACTTGACTTTTTTTGCTCGAATATAAGTAGAATGCATCATCGTTGTAATAAGTCATGTTTCCATTCCTCCAGTTCTATTGAAAATCAGCTCAAAGTTCACAAGCAAGACTCAAAATATTACTTCACTTATACCAACCAACCATTCTACTTTATATAGATCATATCTATACTCTTCCTCCATAATGTATAAACAAACCATCTTAACCTCCGCCCTCTCTCTTCTCTCTTCCGCTCTTGCTCTCCCCCTTGAGCCCCGAGACACCCCTGAATTCACAATCACCAGCCTTAGCGCTGCCTTTCCGTATCCCGGAGTCTACGGGCTCGACTCCGTTAACTCCTTTGTCAATGTCGCCGTAACTTACCCGGACGCCTCATCAACCAGCAGCGCCGCCCTCAACACAACCTGCAGAGTTGCTTGGCCTGCTGGCACCAACCCGGGTCCAACGGAATGGACTGCGTGCGCCAATCCGGGGTTGCAATTCCGTCTGCCAGCCGATGGGTGGACTGGCACTACAAACTTCCGCGTCGAGTTATTTGAGGAGCTCGATTCTAACGGGTAAGTAAAACTTCTTTCTCTGAACATGATCAGTTTTACTAATAGGGTATCTATAGCGCGGGTCTAGATGCCACACACATTCTCACGTCCAACCCAGGGAACTCAAGCGACCCAAATGCGTACATGTTCTGTCTCCAGATGGGCAAATTCAACCCCTTAACTTGCACCTTAACTGGCCCGTGGGGCCAGTCGGCGAGGACTGTGGTCATGTCTACCACTAATGAGAACGCAAGGCCGAATTAGAGCATTAGACATAGAGCTTACTCCTAGACAAGCAGGATACGGCTAGGAAAGAATAGACTGGGGGCATCTTTTTAAAACGGGATAGAGTCACACGACTTGGTTGGGATATGCACAAATAGTAACGACTTTAAAGATAGCGTGCCAGTACATACTCATAATTCTTTAATACAATTATTCCCAGTTTTTAATAATACGAACATAATATCCCGTGACATTGGGTGAAGGTGCTTAGGAGGAGTTGACTCGGTCAACAGACATGATCCTGCTGCGTGTTGGTTTGAATAAACCTCTATTATGGTCAGCTTGGCTCGTTTTTGATAACTATCTGGGTGAGGCACCCAAGGAACCTCTCAGTAACCACCGTCGTCATCTTCCAAGTAACTGTTCGCTGTGATAATATTTTAGATCACCTGCTACATCATTTCATTATCATCCACACTATGTTTAATTCACTCTAGCTCGAAATCTCTTTGCATATACCTAAGGGATACTCATGCATATACAATAATGATTTGTTAAAAAGGGGGCTATATGTCCGATTGCACTAAACTAACAACCAACTATAAAGCTTAAGTATATTTCCTCATATTCTACGACGTCCTATATCATGAATGAATAGGTAAATAACCGATATTCTATTGCTCTTAAAGAGTTGTCAGTAGCTAAGGTCCCTAATGACATCTGTGTTACTTATTCTTAAATAGGGGTAAACACTAACAATATACTATACTTTGACATGGCTATCGATCTCTATAAAAAGATCATCGGCGCTTCTTTATCGGCCAAGTCCAGGTTATAGTTAGGTAATACATAATCATCTAGCCGAGGATCACCTTTATCACTGTGACGGCGTAAAATCTTCCAGTAAGCCGTAATTCGGGGAAGCCTTCAGATGCGTTTCGTATGAATTTCCACCTGGCGGGGTTTCGGGAGTCGAAACAGAGCTTCCCAATATCACGAGAACGGGACGTATGGTGCGAAACGACGCTTCTACTTGGTAAATGTAGCATTTAAGTTGTTTTTCCTACCAGTCATAGTCAGTTAAGTATAACTAAGAACGGGACGTGACGGTAGAAATCATATTAATTAATACGGTTTAGATAAGTGGTGTCTTTAGAATAATAACCACAGGGCGGCGGAATCGGGATAAGTTGCGGAAGGCTGCGGGCTTTGCCATGTCCAATATGGCTGCGAACACTGGCTGCAACAGAGTGGCTTGGGTCGTTTCAACCCAGACTCGGGAAGATGTTATCGATTTCTTTCTTTTTCCATAGTTTCCTTTAGATAATCAAGTCATTAAGATTTCCATTCCATAAGATTCTCGAACCAATAATTGGATTAATTTAGGTATCTCCAATTGTCAGCAATTACTTTCACTTCTGGTTTTCAGAACTAAACGTCACAACTCCGTTACATGATGGGGGATCCTCAAGTTGGCGACAATATCGCAGAAGAGCGCTGCTTCGTGCACACCTCTATGACTGATGCACGAAACCAGATTCGCCTCTTGGAGCCCGAAAGGCCTCAAAAGCCCTGTATAATCTTACAGACATCTGAACTCTAAAAATTTGCTAGCTTCTTATACATCTCTATCCTTTCCTTCTGAGCTCTATCTAGTTTCGAGGGGTCGTATCGATGGATTGCTAGTAGTAACATAGCTCGAAGAGTAAAGTTAGCATCGTTGCCTGCATTATGAAAACTTTCCCCTAAAATCCCAATCTCTTTAGTGACCTTACTCAGACTACATTTGAAGTCTCTGCCAAAAACCTCATACCCTAGAAATTCTGTATCAAATATTTCAACAACAGATGGTGCTAGTGTTAGGTCAATTCCAAGGCCTTTCATAGCCTTAATCTCAAAACCAAAACCATGGCCAACAAGAATAAGGTCTCGAATTTCCCCAAGGGTGTTATTTTCAATGTAAAGTAGGCGCTTAAGCACAGCAACAAGCCCGTCCTGCAAGATATCGATCGTCTGCCCGAAGATAAACTTTCTACTATCTGTGACAGTACGATAATGCTGTGTGGATATCGCATCATTCAAATGACCACTTTGATGGTATAAGTTACGGGTGTCGAACATCGAAATTCCAACCTCTCTCAATCGAATGCGCCCAGATTTTGGAGAATAGTGACTATACTCGAAATCGATCGCTATAAAAATAGCATCAAGAACGTCAAATTCCTGGCGACCTAAGCCCCGCGGTATAGGAATAGCAGGTTCGGGTACAGTGACTGAAGTACCATCGGCGAATGGAACGTCTGCGAGATTCGATAGCGCTTCTCTACGCCCCGCTTCATTACCCAAGCTGTCAGGTTTGAAACCGTCCACAGGCAGCCAAAGGACTGTTTGTAGTGTCTGTAGACCGCACGTACTGATTGGACGTAGAGGCCGTGAATGTAGAGATCTGGCAATGGCATCTTTTCTTTCCTTCGACCGTAGCTTACGCTCCACATTCTTCTCGTGACGTGATCTTGGTTGTGCGACAGCGAGATAGTGTTAGTCCGCATCACTACGATATCTGTGGACAGGCGGTGCCCATGGAAGGGGGAAGGTTGATCCATCGTGAAGAATGTGAAGACTTTGGCTTCTTCCATCGGCTTGGAACTGACTGGGGAGGCTTCCAAGATGGCTTTGATGTCCATTTTGATATAGAAGACCTTCTTGTACTTTCAGCTCAACTAAATGGGCCAAGACATTCCAAAACGGATCAGGAACACAGTGATGAACAAGTGAAGAGGGTAAGAACTAGTGTCTGCCGTTTTGATGGCTCGTCTTATGCGACTTTACGGGTCTAGTTTACAGCAGCTAGGTGAAGAACATGGGCATTGGTTTAAACATTGTTATAAAACCTAAGGCTTATAATAGTAAATAAGCTTGAAATAACATACCCGTGTTACGTATAGCTTTAACTCCTAAGAATCCATTAAATATCTAACTTCAATGCAGACTATTGAACTACACACATTACTTCCGCCGGATAGAATATCAGATACGCATTAAAAGTAAATTAAGACCAGTTAGAGTATATCTTAGGGACTTTCATAAGATAATATAATCAATTTAAGTAATATTCCAAGTCCTTGCTCTACGATCTTGTTAGCTGTAGTGTATAGCCTAACCGTCTATAGTCTAACCAGACTTGGTGAAAGAAAATGGGGCCGCGTGATTTAGTAGGAGTTACTAAGTTTAACAGGTTCTTTAGGCTTAAGACCAACAGCACTATACCTTGCATAAGAGGTAGGTGGTCATTTCAGTTGCATTGAGGACTATATCCATTGCTGTAGTTAGGTAGGAAACTATCTTAATTCTGGTAACTCCGAATTTTGTCTATTTTTATCACCCCTTACGCACTTCATGGGCGCTCAACCAATGAAGTGAAATTCACCTATATGAGTAGCGGGTCTTCAAAGAAGGAATTACCCGGTACAGCTCTAGCTACCAACGGATATAGAATCTTTGTCATCACGTAGATCACTGCTTCTATGACCTACCTTATGATTTATAAGTAGGTACCTAGATAGATACATAGATCACATCCCCTCTCATCACCCCCTTACCCCCATCACTCTATTAGTGTCAAGCTACCATAATTTATACTCGAATGACAATATCCATTTGAAAGACATAAGTCATCTAACGCCCAACATGTCGCCCACACCAGAAGCCATTCTCGCCCAACTTCAAGCAACCGGCTCCGCGTACTCCGAGAAGAAGCCGGGAGCCCGGGAGCAACTCCTAAATCTCGCCCATTCCTTGATTTCAAGCTTGGAGCTTCCAAGCGAAGCCATCCAGCGAATGGGCTGGGCTGAGGTACTTATTCGAGAAACGCACACTTCCCGAGGCCCTGAATTGACTGGTATGAACATCATAGCCCGCTAGAGCAGCACACTGCCGCATCGCGGTCGATTTGGGGCTATTCGAATCTTTAAAAGATAGCGGCGAGTTAGGTATCAGTGGAAAAGCCTTGGCTGCCAAGGCTGGTGCCGATGAGACTCTGATTGGTACGTTACCTGGAATAACTAGCTAGGTACTTGCGCCGCGTCGTATAGATTATTGATGCCCGTGAAAGCACGAACCTTAAAGCATCTTGCTGCTATGAACGTCGTTGCCGAGACGGGTGCGGATAAGTATGTCGGGACGCCCCTGAGTAACGCTCTGACGGAGCCGAAGTACCGAGACGGCATCATTTACACGTAAGTAGTAAAAACCTCCCATCAGCTCGAAATCCGGCTCCCCCCCTATTGGATACTTACGGGTACTTATAATATCTACAGATACGACGTAGCCGGCCCATCATTCCGTGGTCTACCCGAGTACTTGAAGAGCATCAAGTACGCACTTCCAACGAAGCTAACAGACGGGCCTTTCCAGGGCGCTCATAAAACAGAGCTTCCATTTTTCGCATGGCTGGACCAGAGCCCGCCTTACCTAGAGAAATTTAACAACTACATGTCCGCATATCGCGCTGGGAAGCCCTCATGGGTTGATCAAGGCTTTTACCCGATCGAGGAACGTCTTGTTGAAGGGTTCGATGCTAATACTGGGGGCAACGACGTACTCCTCGTTGACGTTGGCGGTGGCCTGGGACATGACTTACGAGAATTGAAAGAGAAGCATCCCTCACTCCCCGGTAAACTTATCCTACAGGACCGTCCTGAGGTCATCTCAGCCGTTTCTAGCGGAGGCGTGCTTGAAGCCACCGCTCATGACTTCTTCACTCCCCAGCCTGTAAAAGAAGCCCGGGCGTACTACCTACACTCTGTGCTCCACGATTGGGATGACGACGACTGCGTTCGCATCCTTGAACAGTTACGGCCTGCGATGAAATTAGGTTACTCAAAACTGCTTGTGAATGAGATTATCGTCCCTGATCGCAACCCGACATGGCCTGTTACCTCCATGGATCAGCTGGTATTTGTGCTTGGCGCCATGGGGGAACGTACGGAAGCACGCTGGGAGGATATTCTAAAGCGGGCTGGCTTTAAAGTCGTGCATATATATAGCTACGAGATGGGATCTGAAAGCCTTATCGAAGCGGAATTAGCATAGCGAAGGTTAAAGAGTCCCTATTTGTGTACAAGGTAGTTATTTTAGTACGCGTCTAGGTTGGAAAGGTGACTTAGCGAAATGAAATGAATATGAGCAAGTAATTATTGTCATATTTATTCATTTTTTTACCTTGGATGATTATTATTATATTATTAACGCCGAGAGAACACAGAAGGATATAGCCAGCGCGGATAGGTAGGAGGCGAATAATAAACACCCCTATATATTTTCATTTCCGAACGACAGCCCCTATAAAACAGTAGAACACAGCGCCCAAGGGAGTTAAATCACCCAACCCCTCACACCCAACCACACACCCACCCTTAATTACTCGGTGGACGCGAACCCCCCACCGGATCCGGCGCAAACAAATAATGCCCATCAAACACATCCCGCCACGCCTCATCCACACCCGGATTTCCCTCCGCCGTCGCCCCCACGTCTCTCGCGCCGTAATCAAGCATCGGATAGCACCACACAAGCCTCGTGCCCTCAGGCTCGCCCGTAAACAGCACCGCCACGCCGGCAAACATCCCATGCTCGTCGAACACGACGCGGTGGTCCCCCGGGGGTCCGGAGACGGGGGCGCCGGTGACGCCGGGCCACTCGCCGAGCGGGTTGGGGTTTATGGGAAACACGAAGAGCTCGCCTTCGGCGCGGCCTAGGTCCACGCGCTGCGCACGGTAGTCTGGTAGCCACTGTGATAACTACCTGTTAGTAATTGCTTTGTTTGGTAAGAACCCTAGGGGTCTAGACGTATAGTAACTTTTTTAAGGAAAAGCTGTTTCTAGAGACTACCTAGCTATAAAAAAAAAGGGCGGGGGGCTACGTACCACCGAGTGCGGGTGCTCGAGGCCGCTCCATCGCGGGCGAAGCTCGCTCGGGTGCGCGACGTACCAGGCGCCGCGCTGGAAGGCCTGATATACAGCTCTCGCGTTGAAGACGGTGAAGAGAACGCGCGGGTGAGGACACACGTAGTACTGTAATATTCGAGTTAGCAATTGCGCTTTGGAGATGGTAGAAAGGAGAAAGGGATTAGGTGTATTTCCAACAGCACTTACAGCAGCGATGCGATTGTCAGGGTTATTCCGGTTCCAGTCGTCGATATCATCTCGCTTCTCGAGGAGCGGAACAGTGACAGTGGCAGTTCGGTTCAGTGCTTCAACGACGGGATCCTGAGGGATGGCGGCTGCCTTGACGTCGTCGTGGTAGCCCTTCTCGTGCGACTCGGTGCAAGGCGCAGCAAGAGCGACGAAAGAAAATAGGAGAAAAAGGAAAGCGTAAGGCTTCATTTTGACGCTTGTATTTCCAGGTTTGGTCCGTTCTAGCTTGGACTTGAGGAGGTAGGTATTTTAAGAGTTTATAGATGTAGTATGCAGATTGGAAGCTTGCAACATCCAAAGGAATGCCGATACACGAGTTGGAAAGTTGAGAGGTGTGCCCTCTGATCAAATTAGGTGGTGTACCTGTGATAGGACATTTGCCGTAGAACGTGTACCGAATTGGTGGGTTTGATTCCTGGTGCCTAAGGATTCCATGCGCAGACACCTTGTGGATGTGGCACCTATTTACGCGCGAGAGTAAATCAAGGGCACAGGTAGAAATACTTATTCTAGTCATACGAATATCTCCCGGCGTAATTTATTATATTTCGTCTTTGTCATTTCTATTCTTAGATAGTATAAGTTTCCCTACAGTAAAAGACGATAAGGACTCAGAATGTTCTCAATAGGGGCCAGATTTCTTCAGTGATAGACCTGCCAACATAAGATTGGCATAATAGTTCTTGTCCGGGAAAAAATGATTTGGACTTCACCCTATGTTACAATTGGTAAGAGTAACTCATGCCCCTTCAACCTAATCGACAACAACAACATCCTGATCATCCTCCTCTACTTTAATATCCTCACAATCAAACCTCTGACCCCTCGACGGCACCGGCTTAGCCAACACCACCGTCTCAATACCAACCGGGCTCATATCCTCCGGCCCCATAGGCAAGGCCTCAACATCGATTTCCATATTTAATAACGCCTTGATTATAACCGCGCTACCAGCCTTGCTCATAACCTCATTAGCCTCCTTGCAGAACTCCGAGCACACACACTCAGGACACCCCGTCTGACAATGGCAGTGCTGGACCCGTTCTAAGGCTTGTACGAGCAGCATGTCGATGAACTCAAACGCCTTAGTGCTAATGCCGGTTCCGTTGGCGCCGCCCTTCGCGTCGTAGAATGTCAGCCGAGCAGGCCTCTTCCGCGAAGTTTCCTTCCGCGCAAATTCCTTCAGTCCCGATTTGCATTCCGTCTGGACGTCGCCCGGCATGCTTATAACGAAGTTAGGCATAAGGCTCATGATAGCATGCTCGGCGGCGTGAATAGCGCCCGCCACGTGGAGACGCCGGTCAACGAGGATCTCAAGGGCGCGCTTCGGAACGTCGAGCCACATGCCTTTGCTATGCCGGATGATGGGAGGATTATCGACTTGCACAGCGTCGAGAATGCGGCGCTTCCTATCTACTTTGAAGTAGCCAAAGACGTTCTGGGTAATGCGTATTGAGCCGTGAAAGGCGCGCGAGAGCGAGCCCGGGATTTTACGTATCGCTTCTGTTTCCACAGGGTCCACGTCGGTGAAATCTCGCTGTTCTGTGGTCCATTCCACCTTGACCTTTTCTACCTTGGCAATCTTCCTGTCTGGTTGGAAGTCGCGTACTAGGTACGAGTTACCCTGATGCAAAAATATCGCGCCATCGTAAATAGTAAAGAAGGCCCTCGATGCTTCTAATTCCTCGAGTACCACGTTCCTCCCGTGTGATATATCAACTATTGCAAAGTGATCTTCCTCAGTATCTCTAATCGCAACAAACCTTGATGGCATTGGTCTAAATCTGTCATGACAGTGGTAGTACCCGAGCTCGTCTTTGATAAGGCGCTCTTCTGCGATCTTCGCTAGGTCTTTCGTAAAATAGATAGCATCATCAGCGGGCTTGATCGGCATTTCATACGCTGCGCATTGTAAATGACCCTCCAAGACAAGCATGTTGCTTAAATCAACCTGAAGTTCGCAGTTGGGCTTCGTGAAAAGTTCATCGGGGTTCTGCATATAGTGCTGGTCGGTTGGGAAGCAATCCCCCACCAGCACGGATAGAGAATCTTTGTTTCTCCTACCAGCTCTCCCACTCTGCTGCCTCAGATTTGAAATGGTATATGGGAATCCTAGTGTAATGACACAGTCCAAGGTACCAATATCGACACCCAGTTCCAAAGCAGTAGTCGCAATGATACCCATGAGCTTGCCTTCGAACATTTCGCTCTCGATCTGTCGACGATCTTGTGCCGTATATCCACCTCGGTAACCCATAACACGTGCCATGCATTCCGGACGACCTAGTGATTCTAATTCGTATCTAGCAGCATTCACTAGCTCTTCGCACTGCTTTCTCACGCGACAGAACGCTATTACGCGAACGCCGCGTAGGATAAGTTGGCAGAATAAGCGAGCGCATTCAGCTATAGCATTTCCGCGCCCGCTAGTTGGGTCACCAGGATCTTTATAAGGCGTGTTCCAGCAGAGAAACTCCTTCCGCCCAGATGGCGACCCGTCGAAATCAACTAAATGTACATCATCAATTCCAAAGATTGTTTTAAAATGCTCTCGTGGATTTGCCACGGTAGCAGAACACGATATGAACTTGACCTTTCGGTTGCCGACGGCGGCACATATGCGTCGAAGCCGTCTCATGATGAATGCAACATGCGAGCCCATCAAGCCGTTGTAGTAGTGTAATTCGTCAACTATCCAAGAATTAGTTGTGTAATACATTTTTCTGACCAGGAATTTACGTGCCGACAACATAGCGTAAGTACTTTAGAAAAGTTCGCCACCTATCTTCTTGGGGGAGAATTGTAAGGTGAAGCATATCCGGGTTAGTAAAGATGATACGGGCCTCGTCACGAATCTGATTTCTATCGTGCATCGGAGTATCTCCGTCAAACGTCTCAACGAGGACATTTCCCAGCCCTGTAAAGTACGCGAGCATCTCCTTTAAGCTTTTCTTTTGATCCTGAGCTAATGCCTTCGTTGGGAAGATGTATATAGCTCGAGTATTAGGATCTTCTTCTAACGCGTGTAAGACAGGAAGCTGGTAAATGAGGGACTTCCCTGAGCTCGTCGAGGTTGAGACGACAACATGACGGCCCGCGTGAAGATTATTGATCGCTTCGGTCTGGTGAGCATAGAACTGAGTGATTCCCTTCGCATTGTATAGGGCATTCACCATATCCTGACTCAGCAGAAAGTCAAGCTCCCCGAAAACGGGATCCTGAGCGTCAAACACTCGGTGTCCATCCGGCACAATTTGACCCATATACCACGGACTGTCTTTAATTTCTTGTATAATTTCAGGGATACTCTTCCTCTCCTTAGGTATCGATGCGGGTATGGTGCTGGGCTCTGGCTGAGGGGTAGCGATTTCCGACAGAGTAGGAATTGGGATATATGTTTCTGCTTCTTGGCGGATCATTACCTCTGGATCCAGATTTTCTTCTACGCAGCGGTTTATAAAGGAACTCACCGCATTGGTGAATTTCTGGTTACGCTTTTCAATCAGGGTTGTCAGTTGTTTCTGGCTGTAAACTGGCATTTTTAAGTCCTCATCCCGAAGCCTCCTATTCGGATTTATAGGCTCTCCTGTCTTTTTGCTCTGGACTTGTCTTTTGAGGTCCTCGTCAACAAACTCAAAGTAAAGAACCTCTTGACCACTTGATGGCAAATCGTCGGGATGCCGACTACCAAGTTCGTCCAAACCGGTAAATCCGCCAACGGAGGCATCCGGGGCGGGACCTTGAACAGTAATATCCCTTGATTTACCAGTCTTAAACGTAGAGTCTCTTTCAGCTCCCTTGATGTCGGTATGCAACATTACCTCATCCACGTAAGTGAAGTTGATACCTCCCGGCCGTAGTGCTACGATAGCTGCGACATCCTCGACTGTCAGGCCTCGTTTCGTATTGGACTCCACCGAGGACCGAATAGTATCAAAAGTCGTCGCAATATGTTTACGTGTAGAGCAGAAAGTGAAGACCAAGTTCAAAGCCCTATGAGTCTTGTCCAAGTCCTTAAATAGCTGCGGCCATTCAATTTGGCACTCAACATCCGTATTTGCCTTCTTCTTGCGTTGAGATGCTGCATTCTTTCTCGATTTCTCAGTGTTTGGTTCCTCAAGGGTCTCTTCCAAATCGCCTCCTTTGTCTTCTTCGGAAGGTTGCCTCTTCCTCTTCCGTTTAATGATTCTATTCGAAACCGTAGCTGCCTTGAGAGCAGACATCTCATCCGTAATCAAGATGCATGAGGATGAATATGCTTAGTCAGAAAACTATTAGTCCGAAAATATGTGCTTCGCGTTGACGTAGTAGGTAGACTGGAGAGTCGACCCAGTCGCGCTTCTTGTGGCGCGAAATGCGGGCGGAAGCACGTGACCACTTGGCTCCATCAAAGTATCTTAGGTAACATTTAATGATGTAGATTTTATGTAATATATCAGGTACCTTTGGTAGGTACCTAAATAACCTCGCCCAACTAAGAAAGGAGTCTTAAGGGGTTAGGTGTACGCAAATAATAAAGAGTGAAATCTGAGGTCCTATCCAGAACGTTCTTAAGCATAAAAGAGCTATAAAAGAGAAGTATAATTAGGCAGTTAGTCCAGGAGGTACTATATCACTCCGTAGTCCTCCCCTACGCCTATAAGAATAGGAAGCATTTAATAAAAGTTTCTATTCATGAAAATCAACTAGAGATTAATCCAACGCAATACCGTAAACGATTATTCCACAGAGCATTTCGCGTAGGGGAATGGTGTCCGACAGATATGGGTATGAGCTCTATTATCACAGAATTGCCGCCGACAAATATCCGTGCCACCGTCGTTCATCTATGCCTCATAAGCGTGCAATTCTTCCAGAGTACCGGTACCCATGCCTCTCCTGAAAATGCTTCATGCAAAACTCCCTTACCATCTCTAAACGCTTCGTGGTATGCATCACACATCTAGGACCACTTCGCGACAAATGAGGACGCATCGAGTCTCTTCTTCCCGGCTCGCGTCACAGGGCCATCCAACTCTGCGACCTTACGCTTAATTGAATCCCCAGACGAAGACCGGCTCTTTAGGCTCAAGCTGCTAGAGGCCTCCTTATCGGATCCTTCCCCGCTCGATTCCTTTGGGGCTGGCTGGGGTAAATGATCATTAGAATCCCCATCAGATTCAACATATGGTGGTAGCTCCTGCTCTGGTACGGGAGCCACCTCATCAATTACTTCATTATTCTTCTTTCCATCACTCAAGTGTTCCTCAGCATCAGCATCGAGACCCTCTGCTTCATCGTTCTTAGAACTAGATTTGTCGGCAACTGAAGTCGGAGCAGCATTGGTTTCATCAGCTGCCTAGACTGATTGAAGTTCACGCTGTATCTTTCCGACCTCGTTTAGGAAGCTCTTAGCATTCGCCGTGTTCATCTATAAGACGGTTAGCAACTTAATACATATTATACGCCTTAGGACATATACCTTTACTTGAACGCTCACAGCCCCCTCGTCTTCGATAGCCGTGAAGAGTACATGAGTTGCCTTAGCTGT